AAGCAACGTCCACATCACTTTTCCTCCAAGACTGACATCCACACGTGACAAGGGCATCTAACTTCATTAAGCAATGCACGAAAGGGCTGCGACCACATTTCTCTTCTCCCTCCAAGCAGTGACGCATCCCGTGGCTCACTCTACCTATTAATCCCGTGCACCTCCAACTGGTAAATGCCTTCATGTTTCAACGAAACAGCCAGTATTTCGAGAGGTAAAATTGTTGTGCAAAATTGTTGGAGAGGGGGGGGGGAATGGTAAATCGCCACCTGTGGTCACATGCCCATTCCTAAGCTCGCTCATTTCTAAGCTCTTGGCAGCTTTTTGTCTGCTGTAAGGAGAATTCAATGGGTTTCATGAGACAGCTGATACTCCCGTACCCATGAGATCTCATTAAGACAGAGGCAGAGATGAAACATGTTTCTCATCGGCTAAGTGGGATTGGAACGAATTTCGTAAGTTCATTCGATTCCCGAATCAAGCATGCACCGCATTTACTTGAACTTTCACTCAAACAGACGGGATAAATTATGATCGGTATGACTGCTAAAGCTTATTGAGGAGCTTACATCGCTGTCCTGTGCCGCGCCACCTATGTACAATGGTTAGTGGATGAATGGTGGTTAGGCAACGCCACGCCGCATTCGGAGAGGTCCCAAACCAAAAAGATCGTCGACATTCATGAATCCTTGGAAAAGAAGAGAACAGGATCCCCATCCCTCCTTTCATTCAGCGTCAACCAATAAAATAGTTCGAATCTGCTTCCGACGTGGGAAATAATTTTTTTCAATCTGAAGATAGCAGGATCTGAGAGAACCTGGAACTTCTTCAATGTGTTCCCTGAAAGTAGAAGATCCCACATACGAGTAAGTTCGTAAGTTCTACACAGCTGGAGCTCATAGGGCTGCCGGCCCCAGCTGAAGATACCTTGCAGCTGGATCTTATCATATCCAACCTCGCTTCATGTGACTGTGACAAAATAATGGGTATCCCTTTTAAACCCGCAACTACAGATACCACCTTATGATCGTAGATATTCTTGTTTAGATTAAGATACTCTAACCTTCTACAATATCACTTTGATGATTCGGGCTCGATGTCTTATCCTTGAATTTTGCACTGCATAGCTTCTATGTAATAATGAACTATGGTGTCTCGAACATATCTTCTGTGTCTTTCTTGAAAATCATCATTCTGGCAGTTTCACCACAAATCAAAATAGATTTATTGGAGGCATCAGAACTTCATACGGTACGGTTGAACATTAAGATTCGTGGTCTGGTGAAGCACAAAGGGGAAGTCAACGTAAAACAAGTTACAGAATGGAATGAGTTCATTCGGCGCTCAGGTTTCCGGGGAAAGAGGTTCATCGCCGAACTCTTCATAGTTCCATGGATAAAAAAAAAGAAGAAATATCACACCCATTCAGAAGGATTAAATCAATGTTTCCGTTTGTGCTTAGACGCGACAAAAGAATGAAGAAAAAGCTTCACGAGGATCTGTGCGTCTCGAAGCACATTCCGAGAATTACACTTTTGCTTCGGAACTGGCCAAAATGCTATCCTGAAGCACAAATTGTGGCCGATGCATACTAGAACTTATCATGCTCTGCTTATTAGCGGAAGGGGCTGTTCTTTAGATCATGGATCTTTCGCCAAATCAGTCCTCATTCCGTCATGAAGAATTTTTCGTTAAGTGGACCACTGAATGGTGAAGCTGTAAACATTTTTCATCCAATTGTTGGAGACACTGACTCGGAAATAAAAACATGAATAGTTTTGTGCTTTCTCAAAGGCACATGCCAGCATAAATCCGACTCATGAGGAATCATGGACACATATCCCAATTGAGACACTGCAACACTTCACCTTACCACAATCCATTTGCCTTACTCATTTCCCTTCCCCCTAAACGACCTTTCAGTCACCTAACGCAAGAACGGAGCTAAGAAAATCCATTCGAGAGAGGGTTTCTTTTCGAGCGTTCTTCGATTGAGTTTCAACATGAACAGGCTACTTCATTGCTGAACCAAACCTCATCAAAGCTGTCCCTATCCACAATGGTCTCTACCATGATGTTAGCTTCAAGAAAAGGTGAAAAAAATGGTTTAGAGAATCCCAGATTCAACATCAGTAAAATTGAGCGATCATAGCAGTGAAATCCATCTAGAGTATTTACCTACATGGCAGTGGTCAGCATGTCACAGAAATTAAGGAAGAATGCATGCACTTTACTGTGTGCCTACCACCTTCTCACTGACATTTAAGGAAATACTCCCTCTGTCCAGAAATGATTGTCCTGTTTCACTTTTTCTTGAAAATTAAGGCTGGCTTGGGGCATTAATAAATTCTGCTTATGTAACAAAATAGTCTTCGGTGTCCTCTATAGCTCATATAGATTTGAGCATTTGGACTCCTTTTAAGGTGCAGTTTTGGGAGCCGAAAAATTCTTATTTGTAAGAGTTTTTGAACCACACCGATTAGTCCAAAATTACATCAATGGAAATTCTCGCTTCAGCACCTTGGGGAGGAGAGTCACTACTGCACATTACATCCCCGTAGCCCGTGCCCTCGATTGATCAACGGCAGCAACCAACAGAAAACCTCATGGAGACCGAATCCCTGGCGACAAAAAAAAACCTTACCAACGACCAGCGGCGCGCGATATACGACTTTCTTTTGTCGGGTATACGCGACAAAAGAAAGACGTTGCTATAGCCACGATGGAAACCTGAAGTATGGGTCGTGGGTCGGAAAGGACAAACTTACGCGTTTGGGCCGCCTACCGCTTAATTTGCTGTGCCCTATGGATGTTGTAAAATCTGCTCAAGAGTCCCTTTAAATAAACCCTTAACTCCCTTACAAGATCTTTATTGAGAAACAAATTCATTGGCTTCGCTTCACTGCATGTCAATGCAGGGTGAATACTATTGCCACAATGGTGGGACAAAGGTTACTTATGACATGGGGAAGTGTGTCCCTGTTGAGCCACCAAGTGAGTCCAGTTCTTTTATTGGGCTCATCAACAACTAACTACAAAATCTATAGTCACCAAGAGTCGTCAGTCGAAGTGTCTGCCAATCCATCAGGCGCGTTCTTCTTTAGTTAAGAGTCGAAAACCAGAAACAGGACAATCATTTCTGGACAAATAAAAATGGGAAACAGGACAATCATTTCTGGACAGAGGGAGTAGTATAGATTAGTCTCACTTCTTGGAAAGCAAAAAAAAAATTATCACTCATGCAATCGCAGGAATTGCTCTTTTTTTTTTAAAGGATTTCTTTAGTTCTTTGTGCAAAATGTAACTTTGCAAGGTGCTAGAATGTCCAAGAAAAGTAAACGAAGTAAACATGTACGTCACGTTCTTCCCGATGCACTAAAGTGCAGGCTTAGAATAAAGTTTCTTAGCGTGTTCAAACTGATATACCATACAAACCATCGTGCAGCTATAATATTTGGAGGAAACATATGTGAGACCATAGGGAAGAGGCCTGAAGGGTCATGATAAACGGCCCCAGAGGCATATGCATGCATTAATGTGGCATATGCAAAGACGGGAATCATCACACATGCGTGTAATGAGATGGAATGGAATGGTACAAAACGACTGGCTGCCCTGTCAGACATCTGTCTGACAGCACAGGTGTAATCCAAAAAGCTGCCCAAAAACATGGGGATCGCCTGAGACATTGCTATCGCAATAGCAGCAATGTCTGTGAAGCGCTACGGCCTTTTTGGCGTGAGATGGGAAGCTGCAAAGGGCCCCACGGCACAGAGGCATGCAAAAAACTGGTTAAGAAATGTGAATGGACTGGTTCTATACCCAATTTACCCCATAGTAGCTGCCATCCACCATCATGCTGCTATGTTGGATGCGGAACAGCTCTGGTCAGGCATCTATGACAGCACCGCCTGGATGCAAGAAATCGCAGACGTGGTAGTCACATTGAGCAAATGTAGCACTCCCAGGTGGCCATTTCCTTTGACCCTCTTCCTCATGGTCTCATTTGTGTTCCCACCAAATATTACTGACCCATAGAGTGGATCATGCACCGTTTGTAAATTTACAACTGCCTGAACATGCCAGGAAACTTTATACTAACCTTGTACGGTCGACTCGCAGTATAACGAAAAACTGGTTATGCCCAAGTCCCTGATGTTGCCCGGTCGAACGTCCATAAACACCCAAGCAGAAAAATTCGGATACCCAGAAATTACATATAAAATGAATTCATGTTTCCCCTGACATAAAGGACACTAGATATAATGAACTTTTCCATCGTCAAGAAGGAAACGCAGAAAGGTCAGTTTTCATCTTCATCCAGTCCTTCACTTCGATGCTTCAGCTGCACGGCCTACGAGAATGTGTAGTGTGCGTGATAGGAGGAATGTGAATGTGGGTAAACGTGCGTGTGGCGGGGGATATGAACACGGGCGATGCGAGTGTATGAAGCACTTCAGTGCTCGCGCTCAGCTCTTCATCAGGCTCTTTTGCCCCCATTCGTCCCATCATGTGGCGAACCGTGGAGGGAAAAAGTATTGGGGGGGGGGGGGGGGGGGGGCNGTGGGGGGGGGGGGGGGGGGGGGGAGGGGGGGGGGGGGGGGGGGGGGGGGGAGGCACAGGACAAAGTTGAGGGGCACGGGAACTCTCGGATACTGTTATCATGCATTTCTGGATCTTTTCCTCCTTTTTTGGCTTATTTTTCTTTTGCTCCCCCGACGCAATTAATTAATTTGAAACTAATTTTTTCGACGCCTTAACCGCGAGGCCACGTGACCCGCCCGAGGGACATGCAGCAACTAACGTATTAAAATACCGTCATTCAGGAAACACTCAAAAGCCTTCAGCCCCCCGTAAAGCACCCACAAATCCTATATATACAGGTATAACATAGACTCAACCCTCTAAATGGAGATATATGACCACCTCCTGATACAATGAAAACTCGATATTGCGAAATATTTCCGGCGGCTTCATCGACTTTGTTATGACGAGTCGACTGTACTTTGAAACCTTGAAGAAATACCTCCAAGTATGAACAGAACCAAAATAAAAACTAAGAAGGCATAGCAACATAACAGATTTCATTCTTGACTATAGCCATAGCACATGAAGTACATTCCTGCATGATGCGCTAGTCTTGGAATATTTGCATATCTCATACTTGACTAATGCCTCTGAATTCAGCTGCCATTGTTTATAAGTGCAGTTGCATGGCATGTATGGGAATTTGGTCTCAGCACACTGGGTCAGACAGAGAAAGCACAGAGGTCATAATTAAAAAATTTCCAAAAACAAACATAAAAGACAAAAGTATTCTGGTGAACAAGAGATTGAATACCCTCCCAAATTTGTACAAACAGGTCTTGGACCTTAAAAAAAAGGAGATCCATATCTGAATGCTACTGGGGAACCTTGACCAATTTTGTGATGCCCAAGAAAATCCCTCATCAATTTACTGCACTGTCAGGGTTTCAGGATCCTCACATAAAGTCATGAAATCATAGAAATGGTTGATGTGAATGTCATCATAAGTGGAGCATGGGCATGCAGTAACCAAAAGTGCCGATAACATAAAAAGGCACCTGCAGTGATTGCTAGATGAAAAGCTCAACATAAACAACAAATAGACTATATCTAGGTGCCTCTGATGCTCAGAGTCTGCTCATGTTTAGTCTAACAGTGAGTGCTTAACCAGCAAACTGGCCATTTAGGGATGAACATCTATTCCCCACATCTACCACAATATTGATCCCAAACAAGACAAAATTATTCAATTTGACTTATGCTGGGAATGGGCTTAAAATGAAAGATGCTCCCCAGAGGATGAAGCTGACACCACAGCAACACTGCCTGAATTTAATTGGAGAAAAAAGGGAATCAAAGGATTTTAGGTCAGCTGCCAAACAAGAGGACATTTTTCACTTCCGCTGCTGGCGGATCCGAGCCAAGTAATCACGCAATTTTGGTTCCAAATTAGGAGTTGAGACTTGGAGAGCAGTGAGACTCTCTCCATTCTTCAGTTCAATCAGAGCACCATGTTCCAGCAGGAGATATGCCTCCTGTTCTCGTCCCTCCTGGCAAACCATGTGCCTGCAAATACAGTTCATTACAATCTCTATTCTCACCTCACTTCACATTACCCGTATCATGTTCTTCTTGCAAGGAAGCACACATTTTAAATAATTTTCTCACACACTGATTTTTTTTTCCATCCATCTAATGCTAAACCCTTCAATTTTAAAAGAAGGCACTTGAAATCAACAAGGTGTACCAGTACACAGAGTCAACATACAATGAACAGCATTAAATAGGGTGTTTCAAAATGCATGCTCCACTCATTTTCTATGGGGGGAAAATGAAACTAACTTCTATGGGAGAAAAAAATCAGACCAGACTGATTTGATTCTTCACTTTGATTTGAGCTGATAAAATGTGAGATTTGCCTTTTGATTCCAGATTCATCTCCAAAGAATAAAGTCGGGTTCAACCCAGATGTGAATGATACAATTTTGATGTGTGATCCTGATATGAGGGTACAAAGCTTTAAACTTTTGGTTTATTACTCTTCCCTTTGGATGCTACACAAAACTTGCATTGAATATCGCAAAGCCAGTATTACATCTGAACAATTGGTGTATCATATATGTCCCATCTTCTTCCCACCAATGTACCTGCTTAGGCAACCGTTCTTCCATAAGTACAAAAAAAAAAGAAAACTTGGTTTCATGGTTACTTTTTTCTGGTTATTGCAGAAGAGTTGGAAGAAAATAAGATTATATCTTAATTTTAAATTTAAAAGATTCCACCCAGTTAAGAATTAGGAAGACTCAAATAGAGTTAGGTTCAGTATTCCAAAGATTAATCTGATTATTATTATCCTTATTATTAAATTGGGTTTAAATGCCTGGAATTTAATTTTTTTATTATTCATTCATAATTTCAAAGGAATAGAAATTTGAAATAAATAGGAATCTAAAAAAAAACAGATTATGAGATTTCTAGGAAAAGTATAACCTTAGAAATGGCTATTTTCAACACAATGCAAAATGAACCCCATACTTTTGCGGAATTTTCTACACAAAACAAATGAAAGAATTATGTCCCAAGCTAAAGCAAAGAAGAAAGGATGTCATATTGACCACTAAATTGTAGCAAACTCCAAAGCAGAAAAAGGTACCATGAATATTAAATGATATGCCTTTTGAGAAGAATGAAAGGTTTGTAAAGATGTGACAGAGCTGAAGTTGAAGGGGTTCAATTCAATATCATCTTTGGGAATTTTTTTCATGGAATGAGGAGTAGGGGTAAAATATTATAAATGCAGCATCTTCAAACAATGATGAAACTCTACAAGCAGAACCAACACAAGAAACAATACCACCCAGGAAAAGGGTGGTCACTTCCCCATAGAAAAAGGATGGAGCTTTTTTTCATGAAACAATCTAAATATGGTATAGCACTAGGCAATCTGCACAAAATTTGTCCTGAAACCCCTTTTCTTTCTTCAGATGGGCATGAAAGATATGCTCTCCATGCTTGATTGAGTTTCCAAACTCACAAGGGACTGTTGCCAAACTTGTCTTGGACATTCACTTCAATGTGAGGGCAGGTAAGGAGGATCTTCATGGCTTCAAAATGACCCTTGGAAGAAGCTCGATGGAGAGGAGTAAAGCCCATGTTGTCCTTTGCATTCACATTTGCACCTTGAGCAATCAAATCTTTCAAGATCTGAACAGAAAGTCAGAGAAATTAGAATTCTATGGACAGTTCATTTCTCTAAATTGAAAAATGTACGTAATACTAATCAGTCATACCTGAATTCTGTTCTTGGAAGATGCATACTCAATTGCACTATGTCCAGTCTCACTCCTGGCATTTACATCAGCCCCATTCTTGATCAGCAGACTGACAATGTCTTCATGCCCAGCAGATGCAGCAATGATAAGAGGTGTCCAAAGAAGCTGGAAATGACCAAGTGAGTGGGACATTTAAATACCATGAATTGCAATGAATAATTATTATATTACAAGCAAAAAATGCATAATCATTACATAAAAAGCCACATGCCTCACAGGAGGGCAGCTGATCACCAATAATACATATATAACATGCACCTATGGATGGGGATTAACAGGAAAGCTCTTATAATGCTAATGCTGCTAATAGGCAGTGCCGTAACAAGGGGCGTGCAAGAGGTGCCCCCACACAGGGCGCCAAATAAGGCGGGGTGCCGATTAGCTGCCAAATCACCACAAAATATGTATTAAGCTAAAAAAAATTGTATATTATCCTGAATTTAACTAAACTAAACATAGAAATTAATATATAATGTATTATTTGTGCTGGGGAAGCTGGAGAGGTATAGAGATTGGTGGGTGCTAGGTTGATATTTCGCGATGGGGGGTCCTAGATTGATATCTTGCACAGAGTGCCAAATATCTTCGGTACAGCTCTGCTAATAGGTCAGCATCTCTACAGACTTTCCAAGATTTGACCTTCACCATTTTTATGGGATAATTTTTACACTCATCCATAGCTGCACCTGCTGTGAAAAAATTATGCCAAATCAGCACAAGAAATTCACAACTGTCATGGATGTAACTGGGAGACTTACTTCATCTGGTGGGTCAACAGGGGAGCCATTTTCAAGGAGGAAAGAAGCTATTTCTGTGTGCCCCCCACTGGCTGCCCAGTGGATTGGAAGACGACCAGCCTGTTAAAACAAATTTACAATTCAGAGGGTGAGTGGAAGAAGGAATAAGGTTCTATGACACAAGACCTGAAGGGAATACAAAAGATTGACTAGCTATATACACAACTTATCCCATGAAATAAGACACAGTGAAATTATCAAAGAGGTCTTACCCCATGCTATCACGATGGCAAAGAGAGGGAAAAAAAAAAAGAGTTTCCTATCACATCACTTTCAATTTCATCAGAAGCTGCTGGTCATCAAATTCTATCACTAGCTGGCTTACCGAATCCTTCCGCTTGACTAGAGAGGGTGTGGCTTTGATGTTCTCTTTGACAGCTGCAATTTGGCCCTCATAAGCCAAGCGACCAATTTCAGTATCTGACATGGATCTCCTTCTGCCAATTTCTGTACTCGAGAATTCAAGAATAGAACTCATTGAGTTGCTGGCTCTGGATCTGTGGGCATGTTACTTACTCACATTCAAACATGGCAAATGAGTGAAAGATCAAAGAAATTACAGAACACCATCAATAGAGAAATAAAATGAATCTATTTTCCCTTAAATTGAATCATTTGGGAGCGTTTTGAAAGTAAGATCATGAAGTCAACTTCTCTGGTTTCTCATAGTATTATAAAAAAGATTTTGGAGAAGTCTTGTCCTGTTCTGGTGTAGATAATGCCAGTATGAATAAAGTCCTCTACCTCTCTTTGGAGGGATGCCATTCCATTATAAGGAAGGCAGACTAAAACTGAATTTCCTAGTCAGTAAGTAACCACATCATGTTATCAGAGATGTGAGCCTTTATTCATACTCTTATAAATAGGCTTTCTTCAAAAAAGTTAACTGAATATGGAAGAACAGATGCCTTGTTAGTGCATATGAAAAATTATACCCACTCACACATCACCAGATTCTCTAGAAAATCATGTGGAAATGCAACAAGGGCATGGAAGCATGTGGAATGCAACAAGGACAAAAGAAAGAACCAAACTTTCAGAGAAAGACATCACAGAGATGGTTGAGAAATAAAGACCAAAACCAAGGTAAAGAAGTTACTGGAACATGACTTACAGCATATCAAATGAAAAATTAAGAAATTTTTTTCATGTTAAAAGACACAGGTCCAGTACATAATGGAGTGGCCCTTGAAGGAAAGCTCCAGAAAGTGGCATGTAGACTTTTTCATGTTACTGCTCATCCTTATCCTTTGCCCCATGCTTCAGGATGCGAGTGAATTCAATGTAGTCGAAGTTCCCCTTTCTGATGGGGGCCTCACGATACATCTCATCCACCTGTAGAATAGATACAAGTCCACTGCATAAATAAAGAAATAAAATTTTAACGAACTGTTAAAAGGGTAAAAACCAACATCTTCATCAGTGAAACGATCTCCCATGCTGGTCAAGAGTTCCCTGAGCCGTTCCTCATTGATGATTCCTGTGTTCTCTTCATCAAAGCAAGCAAATGCATTTTTTATTACTTCCTCAGGATCTGTGCCCTGAAGTCGTTCTCCAAACAGAGTCAGGAACATGGTGAAGTTAATAGGACCTGGTGCTTCATTCATCATTCCTTCCAGATAGTCATCAGCTGGATTCTTACCTATCAAAAAAAAGAAATCATATCATCAACTCCATCCTTAACAAGTCAATGTGACAACACCACAAAGGGTTTTTTGAAACAAGTAGCAATAAGGGCCTACCCAATGATGCAAGCATATCATGGAGGTCTTCCTTGTCGATAAACCCATCACGGTTCTGATCAATCATATTGAAAGCCTCCTTGAACTCTTGAATCTGGGCTTGATCAAACATGGCAAACACATTGGAAGTAGCGCGCTGTGCACGCTTCTTGGTGCCGCCACGACGGCCTGCAGCTTTTCGTGAAGACATGATATTCAATGGCTGGAAATCAGTCACACATATAATGTGGCTTCAAGTCTGGGGAAGGAAAGAAAATTAGGTTACATTGGCCATCACAGCTTGCTGTTAGGGCTATTCCTGAGGGCAGACCAAAATTGCATAGATTTCAAATTTATTATGAAATTGAGGCAAAATACTTGGCTAAGGCATCAAGCAGCTGGAGGGAATGGAACAAGAGAGATACTAAAGTATGTAATACATGGTGTACAAGTCATAATCATAGATTGCTCCATTGTCCATTTGATAAAAGTAAAAAATACACCTGGTGTGGTTTAGACAAACTCTGAGTTAGAACTTTGTGCATGTAGGTAAGTAGAGGTGGACGTCAGTGTCCATCTAGCAAATAATTCCTACTTTTGAATTTCAATTTAAGGGCCAATACATCTTAGATTGATAAATTTACTGAACATATATCCTACTTGTACGGCTTTGTGCATCATGTGAACACCCCCTCCCCCCATAAGCCCAGTCTTCACCTTTTGACTCAGTTTAGATTCATTGCATTTGGGAGTTTTACGTGTCCAAGTTTGAAATTTGAATGAAAATTACATTTTTTCCACTTGACTTCCTCATTCTTGTGCATGAGGAACGTCTCGTGGACGTGTGTCAGACTCAAGCGAAATATAATATAGCATGATGGGCTATTCCTTTGTACGTCCCATACTTTCGACCGCTTTGCAACGACGCAAATGTACAACCACGCTCCGCACAAGATGTCTTTCTTCTTCAAAGGCGGGTGGCTAAAAATTAGTCCCAATTTGCCTAAAAGGCTTAACTTGGGCTAGGCTTAACATTTAAAGGACGTAATGCCCAGTCTCTGATGGACAGAGGCTATAGGATATATGCAAGCTGAACGTCAGGCATACAGAAGGAAAGCGTGGAAGGAAACTTTGAAGCAGCCTGGGTCGCTGAAACACTATCCCATAACATCCTATCATGGGTGGTTTCCGAAACGTATCCCTGTCTGTGCCTGGGAGGCACTTTTATGATACAGAGAACGAAAGAACGAAACAGGTGCCCAAGAGGACGAAATAGCACGGATGAGTCACTGAGCAGACATTTCCAACTGAAGAGGACGCCGCATGCGAATTACGCAATCCTTCGTTTTCGCAACTCTCATGAGCTTGATAGTTAGTTTGTCGAAAAAAATACGATAAAAAAAATGTTTATCGTCTCGGTAAGGCAAATGATCATTCGGAACTTCATTAATTTCAATGGAATGTGATAAAATAAGTTCTATATACCACCGGGTCTTGAAGGTAGTCTACGTCAAGGGCATGCAACCCTACTTCCTCAAGCACAATGATGGCTGCAACCTGTGCGGTATATATAATAGGCCTAATGAATATCTTGTTCTCTTGTAGACTCCTGAGACTTAAACAAATAGCGAAGCCCTAGAATTGACTCTTACGGGCTTTCTAATTGAGGCCTAGGAGACATTTTGTTCCATTAATTGGAGTAAAACTGAGGGTCCTGGTAAGTAACATCTATACTAGGGATATCTCGATGAAATTGACACCAGTTTTCATCGCAGTTTTTGAGTTGAATTCGTACCCTACTAGGAGACTGGAGAAAATACTACTCGCAGAGGATCCGTTTTATTAGATGGTTCAGGAAACCACCCATGTGATCAATTAAATTTCTTGCTCTCGCTCCAATGAGGGAGGGGTACGAGTTAAATCTGAAAACAGCGTAAATGGCCAGTCATTTTAGCTTATCGTCATTTCTGTGAATGAGAGCACCGAGTGCACCGTAAATTTAACTCCAGTTTTATCACAGTTTCAGTTTGCTACAACTGGAATGAGGACAGTGTCACCATGGATTTTCACATGACATAATATAGACTTTACTGGTAAAAGGTATTTCACAGGGTCAGTTTCAATTAGGTGGAGATGAAATGAAACTTAAGGGAATGAATGAAGTCATAGTAGGACTAGTTAGCTCTCAGCCATCCACATTCTTGGATTTTACTGGGGTGACTTGCATCATGCTAAATCAAGTCAATTTACATTGAATTTGATTTAATTTCACAGTTGAGCAGTTAAAGCAGAGCATGTTGAGATATCTCTTTAAAAATTAATAATAAAGATGCAAGGGCTGAAGGACAATGAAAAAATTGAGCAACTATTGTTTTATGAGGCTGTTAGACAATAGTTGGATATGCTACCACAAAAATGTCCTTCAGGAAGGATAGGGCTATTGTATTTTTATATGAGCACCTTGCCTTGAAACAGGAAATTATTATAGGTGAAAGTGCCTCTTGGCATCCTTACCTGAACCTAATATTGAACAAGTGGTGAGGAGCAGCTATGACAGTGACTTTTAGAAGATAATGCCCACTAGATCTACATGCAAGTACAATGTTACAAATAGTTGAGTGTTGGGATGATTTGAAATCAGGTGGATGAGACCATTACTTTGGAAAGACATGGTGGGGTTGTGAAGTGTAACTGATAGAATCAGCATTGAAATACTGATTGATTCTGTTATGAACATGTATGATGGAATTCTGGAAAAAATTGAAAAGTATTAGTTCATTAGGGGTGAATGTGTTGGCATTTTCCATTTCAACTTCAACCATCTCTCACACAACTTCTAAACTTCTAAGTTAGATTCATATATTGTTTTTGTTGGAAACATATGCTCTACTTGGGATCTGAACCACAAGCCCTACTCTCAAAAATACTTATGAGGTACCTAGCTTCTTTAGTGATATTGTTGCTGGTATGAGGCAATTGTGATGAAAAGAGAGGAAAATGTAATACTTGCTTGAAAAAGCTATAGAATCTTCATCATGGCTAAGCCTGAAAAGGCAAAGATTATCATGCCTGAATTCCTAATGGTTGTGCATAATTTACTTAACCCTTTCACTCCCAAGCAGAATTGCATCCCATTATGAAGAGCTGATATATTGGCACCTTGAGATTCTTAGGGTTAATCCTTGTGAGAGAGCTTCATTACTCTATATCCACAGGCTCATATTGACCTCCTTGACTGAATACTTGGGCATGTGAAAGTTTTTAACATATTAAACATTTTCAGCTGTCATTTGATTTATTTTAAAAGCTGGTAAGACATTTACCCTGAATGACCAAATAATAATAATTTGACATTGTTAAATAGGTGGAAAAAAAAAAACTTTGATTGAAGACTGAGAAAACATCAAAGCTGCAAAGGAAGCAAGTCAGCAACTGAACATGAGGTTGAAGGAAAAGATGGTCATATTAATTTACTAAGAATTTCCATTGGCACAGCCTTACTGCAACATAGCTCTTCAGTTTTTTTTATCCTTTCAATTCTGTTGAGGAATCATCAGGAAGTTGATTGAACATTGTAATTGCAATGTACTTTGCTTGCTTTTAGTTCTGTAAGGTCTCTATCCCTATTCTGTCATAGTCATAATTATTTCTGCTCTGGAAAGAAGGTCTTTTGCTGACAAGATATATTTGTTCACTGTGTTTCATTTCTTGATTGGTGTTTTTTTTTTACCAATACTAATTAGAGCAGTTCCTTCTGAGTTTGAATAATTTTCAAAAAGAATTTAGTTTGTATTTTGTAATGGGTGACACTTGATACCAATTTTGGGCTTTTAAGATGTAAAATGGGTGAGATTTAGAGGTAAAATCCTGAAGAGCTACACTATATCTGATGTGGGATTCAGTCAAGGCTTCATAAGTGTTAATGAAATCACATCTCTTTAAAATAACAAAAGTGTTTTGGCTAAGAACACACTTGACTAAATCAGCACAGAAATGGTTGATAAGATGCTTGAATGAAGTTTAGGAACTAGATGAATCCCCAGATGAATAGCAGAATCTACAAATCTCTAGTTGTTGGAAACCAATTTTATATGTAGAACCAAGATGGAACAAGAAGTGGAAAAGGGATAGTTGCATGATGAACAATGCCCAAGTTGGGCCTAGACCTCCCATAGGTTACACTTTACATCAGACAATTAAAATGTAGAAATAGGTTAGGAGATGTAGAGGCATAAAGAAGGCTAACTGACACCTTCAAGACATTAGAATAGATACAAACTTATCACCAGACTAGCCTACTAAAATCTGATGCACTGCCAAGAAAGTCCCTCTGTGAGGACATGCAGGCTACCAGAAATACCTAGCCTCTTTTGGAGGAAGATAGATATAGAATCTCCTGAGAGGATGCCATCTCACAATGGTAGTGGGGTGTAAAATGTGTAGGGAGGACAGGCACCCTCACACCTGACTGGTGGGTATTATCAAAATGGCCAGGTGTTTAGTGACAACATTCAGTCTCTTGCACATTATATTTTCTATCCCAAAGTGAAGTAGCTGCTTCACTGCTACTGTCATATATACACATCCACAGATAAGTGTTAATGTATTTGGCAGTGACCATATTCTTGGAAGATGATTATAAATAATATAAATAGGAGTGTTAGTGCATCCCAATACTGCAAGAAAGCACCAGCAGCATGGATAACTCAGGTCAGCTTAATAATTTGCAAACTTTCATTATGAAGTCTAAAAGTAAAAAAGTGTTTAAAAAAAACTCAGCATTGGGAGGAGTTATTGACATATAAAATCAGCAGTTCAAGGGTTAATTATTGAGGTGGTGGGTGCCTAAGTCTTAGAGGAACTTAAAAATAGATTACTTAAAGTGCATATAACAGTAAGTTGTATATGCATGAAGAACTAGCAATATTTAGGAGATATATATGCAATAGCAGCAATTTTGAGTCATTACACTCCACATGCAGTCAATGCTCTCATAACCCACCTAATTGATTGAAAAAGAAACTCAGATGTGCCTATGTCAAGTGATAAATATTGACTTGGGTAGGTGTGTTTTCTCCATGGGAGATCTAGTGGCATGTACAAGTCTAAGTCCAGTGGGTTTTGTGGTAGAGGACCATCCTGATTGACTTACACCAACTGGACCAAGTGCAGAGCTTCATAGGAGGCTCATGGTATAGAAGTATTCAAGGAGGTTCATGACCCTGATTCATTTAACCCTCTTGGTGCTGCTGACAAAAATATTGAGACCCAGCCCTGGTTGTGCAAAAATTGCCATGAGCCAAAGTGTGACTGCAAAATTTTCTCACAGCTGGTTCCTTACAGGACTAACAGAGGACGGTGTTGGACATACCACTGAAGTGTGGTAGACCTCTACTTATGCACACACAGCACTTTCGCACATCCCTAAATGGAAAGTGTGGCAATAAGATGGTTAATCACATTTAAATCTTTTACTGCTGGGTTTTATACAGGCAGATTGAGCCCCTGTATAGTTTTATCTTTAGGCAGTACAAAGTATAAAATTCTCAATAGATGACAGTAAAATACATTTCAATTCTCATAACAATCACTAATGCAACAGCATCTATAACATGCAAAAAATTCAATGTGCATATGCCCCTCAATAGCAGTGAGGGCATTTCTTTTTCTGTGTTAATGAGTTAATATCAGTTAAAGAGTTAATGTAGAACTCCACCCCATTCTGCTCCTCTCCTCCCTCAGACCTTCCTCTACTCAGCACACCCTCTCATTCACCCTCACCCTAACATTCCAAGAAACAAATTTTTTTTTTAATATCAACTACGAGGTAGTTCTTTGTGCAGTTAAAAAAAAAAAGAGGGAAAACAAAGCTTTCTCTTTGCCAAAAAAACCTCATCGAAATTGAATTGCTTTGAAGGAAGACTTGGAACACAAAAAATTAGACTCTCAGAAATTTACTCACAATTTCAATGTCACTGAAGGAGGTGGTCAAGGTGTGCTCCTCTTTGATGCCAGCATACTTTCAGATCTTTGACAAGATTTCCAGCTGTTGATGTCACTGTTTCTGTTGATTTTTGAGATGCCTCTGTATTTTCATAGGAAAAAGCACTGCCTTGCAGATATGTATATTTTGGCTGAAAAGTTTGGCTCTCTAGCATATTCTAGTGTATGTATCCTTGGATGCTCTGCTAGGCATCTTGCAGTGGTTCAGTAGCATGAATGATTTTGGTAATGTAGACTTGAAATGAAGCATTTCATGCAATAAGTTCAAAGTATATATTTTTTAAGTGTCTCCCTTAGTAGAGAGAAGTGTTAATTGTTCAATTTATTGCATGTGTTTATTCAATATTTTTCAAGTTAATCTGATGATATTTTATGTATTATATATTTAATGCTAATTTCTTTGTTTCTGGCACCTCAAACTCAAATCTGTGACAAATTAAAAGACACATGAAGGAGTAGCCCAAAATTTGATACGCCTAGGCCATATGCTTTGCTTACCAGTACTGTAGGGAGCCTGCAGAAGTTGAACATTGTGATGTGAAATGAACAAACAGAGCTATTTGATGTGTTCTAAGAATGAAAATTTGGAAAGATGGATAGCAGAGGCTATGCTCACCATAGGTAGAAATTGTCTAAACTATAGGAGCCTCACTAGAAAGTATATACCAACACAAGTCTGTGAGTAGATAAAAATCTTTGAAGGCATATTTACAAATTTTTTACTTACATCTACCAGTTTATCCCATGTTTTCTCCCTCTCTGAAGACACAAAGCAGGTCAATGCCCTTTGCTTATTTTTAATATATATTTTTTTAATTTGTGTTAGAAACAAAGAAATCAGCATTAATTTTGTTTATAAAATATCTGATTCACTTGAAAACTGTAGGGAATGTAGCAAGTGCATCAAGCAACATCACATAATTCTTATCTGTATACCAAGGTTGACACATGAAAATTTTGGTGTCACAAACCTTTTAAGGCATCTCACAAACTTATTGCATGTTATGATTTTGTATTGTAAAATATGTAACTCAGACGCATCTAAGATATGTTTGCAATAATTACTTTATCTGTATCTCAGCTACATTTTGAGTGGAGCATTACATTTCAAAGCACCTTGCCCAGATCTGTCTCTTATGCGTAGCTTTCCTGAGGGAACCTGCACTACCTAGGTTCTTGCGCTGCAGCAGGTATGCAGCTAGAATCCAGGTAATGGCTTATTTGCCAGCTAGGACGTTGGCTCTTTTTGGACCAATGATTCAAAGTTTGAGACGCATTACAACTTTATCAAGTTGCTCGTTTTGCTGATGAACGACTGCATCGACTTGGGCGTAGGTATGACTGTGCCCCAGTGCGTGATTGATGATGCTTGCATTCAAGCATGGTGTACGAGAGAGAATTTGGCCGTTCGTCATGGGGGGGAAAGAGGATGAGTCATCTGCGCCATGAATACCGCTTCGCGGTATCATTGCATTGCACGGGCCGACTCCGTCCGCGGGACCACATGTCATTCATTGGCAATTCGTGGATAGGGTAGGGCGCATGCGCTTCAGGATCTCATGTTCCCTCCTCTCTTAACTCAGTCTCCTCTCGGTCTCCGAGGAGCAAGGACCTCCTCTTAGTTAACGCTGACTCCCTTGAGATCAGTTTCCCGGTAACATGCCGTGTCTTGTGTAAACCCTGTCATTGAGTGTTAGAAACCCCGGTTGTTCCCCCATGATTCATGATGAGTGAGGATCAGCCCAAGAGGCTTATCTACCTTCAACTGTGTTCGCGACGATGGAGGAACGTCAACGGTGTCAGTCATATCAGATCTGCCCGCAGGCTGGCACGCGGCACACGACATGAAAAACCTATCCTTCCTTCTTGTGGCTCGTGACTTCAGTTGATGTGTTTATGTTGCAGATGTGAGCCTGCTTATGTTTAGAAATCTTAAAGGATCATTGCATCTAGAGAGGAAGTAAGCTGAGTGGCAGTTATTTCAACACGAGAGGCCGAGTCCTTTCTCGTGTGGACTCTCCGATTCAGTTTACCATGGTTGGACTCGACTCCGCCTAACTTGTGTTTTTTTTTCGGCTTCACTTTTTGGAACAGTGTTCACATCTGTGATCAAGGAGCGGAGAGCACGTTTTGAAGCATGGCAGGTATGCCTTTGTTCTTATTTTCATGTTCTGACGTATCCATTGTAAATATGCAATCGGATCTGGGAAGGAATGCAAAAAAAACTTTGCCTAGAATTGCAAATGCGCAAGGGAGAATGCGCAGCCATGCATTACATTGTCGTGCCCAAGCTGAGGGGTAGATGGAAATGGGAGACGACTGACGAGAAGGGGGAAGTTGGCACTCCCCCTCGATTCTATTGATCCCTCTTCTCCCCCCCCCCCCCAGCCTAACCCAACGTGCCTTCGAGCAGCTGGGAGTCTCCACTGAGCATAGTCCCCATACACGTTACAGATTAGGAATCAAGAATCTCTTTCCATAAAATCCTCCCTTGGCACGTGACAATGAATCCCCCCCATAGGAGGAAAAATGCTAGCCATGACCGTTGGCGCAATTTTGAAAGAGTTGAATGAAAAACCTAATGTATCACACTGAACCACCAACGCATCACTCAGTTATGGGTTTATCTAACGGATGAAGTTGTTGAAGACCCCAACGGAACTGCTGAAGTTGTGGGATGGGCATGATCTTCAATTTTCTGCCCTCCAGAGGAAAAATGGACTCTAGTAGAGGGGGGGAGATCCGCGAGATGTATTCTGTTTTGTCAAAGACTGCTGTTTTTCAATATGCAAAACGTGAAACCCCAACGCGGAAGTATCTATCAGTCAGATGTAGGATAGAGGGGGAAGACAGATGTGGAGCAGCAGATGGGTCGAGAAACGAGGCTTCGGGTTTCTTGATTTACTCGTAAACCTCTGTGGCGGTTGAAGCCCTGACCAATGCACGTTTGTCCAACTTGAAATATTTAGGGAGGTTAATGTGCACGATGGCGGTTGCAGGACGAGGCATGGAGTGGGTAGAAATAATCGAGCCACGGACGAAGGAGCACATGTACGCAAACCTGACGACCGGAGAATGCGTCTGGGATCCTCCTCCTGGCGTCCCTGTGTGAGTCATTTCTACTTCAGCCTTGAAGTTTGGGATGGGAAGGGGGTTTTTGGATATAAATAGTCTAGACCTATACATCACCTCTTGTGGCGTGATCCACGATCGACATCGACCAATCGCTAGGTCCTTATCTGTCGCGATCCGCTCATGACCGTTTCCCGTGTCTTTCACTCCATCACGAGTTCATGACTCTTTCGTAGTGCAAGTTGCAGTATCGAGATTAACGTTATTTTATGAACTAGGGTTAAGAATGACCCCCAGCTCAGATATTGAATGAAGACCAGCGATTGTATAAAATGCTGTACTCAAGGACTCAAGCAGAGATTCTCTAAGACTTACCTGGACCAGGGGCCTGTTCCTCGCCCAAGCTAAAAGCCAAACATCCGATTAACACTTCGTCTAAAAGGGAAAGTTTGTTTTTAAACAGAATGCTTTAGCGGAAAATATTGAGACGATGGAACTTGAGCTAGGGGTTGTTGAGATATATGACCTTAAACTCCGAATTATGCTGAAGCTGCTTAAGTGATTGACTTCCCGGAATGGTCCTCGCATACACCTTTTTTTCAATTGACTTCCCGGAACGGTCCTCGCATACACCTTTTTTTCCCCTGAATCTGGTTCTTTCAATGTGGCATCTGAAATCCNGGCATCTGATTTTCTTTTTTTTTTTTTTTTTTTTTTTTTTTTACTAAGCGTTCTTTTCCTTCATCTCAACATTGAATATATCATTTTGACCGGGTCAGAGTAGTCTCAAACTACTCCCCCTTTTTGGCGAAAGTTTAGCGCGAGATTAAATTTCCTTGGCAAGTTTTGCTTTTAGGTTAGATTTTATCGTAGCTTTTTAGCATAGTCATGAAAGGGACCCTATGAGGCTATAACTATCTCAAGCACGAGGGTACACTTTTTGTACCACCTTTTCACTGGGGGTTAATGCATGGTGATTCATAATTTATACTACCATTTTAAAAATGAAGAAAAGACACAATCACACTTAGACAACCACAACTTTCACGGCGGTATGAACGGGTACTGCATTATAGTTAACAAGCAAGACTGGAATGCACAAACCTCATTTAGAGGAGATAAAGGGGCCTTTAAGCTAAATAGCATCTTTTTCTCCCATAGGAGTCCATGTATTCTTAAAGGACCGTTAACTAAAGGAAGTTTCGGCATTCGGGCATAACTAACTATAATTGTCATTTATGTGCATTTTTACGTATCTTCATTTATTTATATACCGGTTGATTGATATTTAAGGCAGAAGTTTTAACTAACACGCTGTGCAAGGAGAGCATTTTTTATCAAGAGCATCCCGTGCTTCAAAAAGTTAAAGGTTCTACAACTAGAGCCTGAACGCGAAAACTACCATTGTTCTCAATCGCGGGAAGAAGCCCTAGTTTCCTCTCTCCTCGGCCTATCCCGAACTCGCTGTGAAGAACAGAGAGTTCTATCCATTAACATGTGGTTAGAAATACAGTATCCGGGCGAGAGAGTGAGGACGGGGAGTGTGGAAACGATCGCCCGAGGCGGGGACGTGTGCTCCCCTGTCACCATGTGGTTGGTTACCTGTGTACTGGTTACTTCAGGAGTAGAAAGAAAAGAAGGCAACCCCCCTCCATCCCCTTTGGTTTCTGATACTAAACAGATGCGCCGATGATCCTTTTTTTTTCAAGTTGACGTGATAACAGAAGCTATCTCCTTCCTCTCTTTTCTGTCTGGTGGCATCGAATGGTGACGCAACGAATACTAGTATTTCCATTATTCTGTGAAATGAGAGAACTGTCTGTCCCTGTCCTGTTTCCCATCCGCCTGTATAGCGAGGGCCATTTAGAAGCCTTTGTGTGTGAACGTCGTTGCAGCATCTGCGGGGCATGTGCAATGCTTGTTTCTGCTAGTGAGGAATTGGAAGATCTGTTATCAGCGCAGATTCGTCCTGATTCATATTAGCGACCGCTCAATTAGTGTCAAACGCAGATCACACCTTTTTTTAAATAGCAACTTGCATACAGGATTGCAAGTTGTTCGCGCTTGATTGTGACGAGGTGCAAAATATTCGCGTAGAACTTTGAGAGGGATCTTCCAAGAGAACTCCCTCTACTGCATGTCAGTCGAGGCCGTATCGTCATGAGAAGTTCACTTTCTCTCCATCGCGGAAAAGCTGTTTTGGTCTACGTGACTTCACTGGCTGAAATCATGAACTCTCTTGTGAATGGCTCTTGAGGATATCATACGGGGAAGCTTTATCGGTGAGGCCAACTCTTTGGGGGAATCACCATTCTCTAAAAGTAGATAGATTATTTCTCTTGGCAGAGCTGTTCGCAATGAAGGAGACGGATTTGGATTCTGGTATGTAGCAGAGCCGCCCCCATTCTTCCTCGTGAAGGATTGCCTTGCGTCGCGCATTGAATGTGCCTGATTTTTCAACCTTTCGAGATCCACCCTCGTCGAATGCCTCAAAAAATTATAAGGGGCTTTGCCCCATAAGGCCTGGGCGTGGCGCCATAATAGCAGGGTATCGTTTCGTTCCGAATATTCCTGCAGCTTTGTCAGATTTCGACCTGAAATAAATTTTTCTTGTCTTCCTCCCTACCACTTTTTTTTTTTTTTAAGCAGCGATTTGTCTTGAAGACGTCTCGCCGTGTGAATGGACTCTGAATAGGGGATATGTTTACTTGCGTGGAAATTCTAGTCAGCCACGGCTGGGTCGAGCCCTAAACGAGGTAACCAAGATTCATGAACCCGATCTTGTTTTGACATCTTTAAGGAGAAAGAGCACCGTCAAGGAATGTTTGCCCTGCCTTCATTGGTAGGGCTTCCCTGGTTGAACAACAGGTTCATGTTGGAGAGCCCTGCTTGACCCCAACAAAATTTTCGACCAATATTTGCCATGGATGAGGATGAGGAAAGAGGATAGTGCTTTCATGAATGTGTTTCATGGTAACCCCCTTTCTTCATTCCTTCTTTCCTTTTGAAAGGGATTCGTAAGGCAGAATCTGTTGATGCGAATGGGAATGAGGGGGTGAGATGAGGCCAATCCTTTCACAAGCGAATGTGTCTCCTCCTTGTCCTCAGTTTCTTTTTCCCCCTCCCCCCTACTCGGCTTCCTCCTTCCTTCTTCCCTCTCTCCGTTCCCTTCCCCTTGCGAGGGATGATCCAATTCAGTGCGAGTCGTCCCCCTCCCTCGTCTTTTAGAACCACCATTATTCCCTGTCTCCCCTTCCCCCCACGGACATCTCGAACGCTTTCCCAGTCCGAGAAGGAAAAGAAAACCGTGTGTACGTTCCCAGGGTTCTTCTCGCGTCTGCTCCCGGATTGGGTGCTGCGGAAAGCCTTGATTAAACAAAAGCACTTAGGAATTTATTGGTTCTCTGGAACGAATTTGATAGAGAAGCACGTGATAATACGTAGTCGAGGTTTAATTTCACGAGATAATTCCTATAGTGTCAAGAGGTGGAATTGCTCCCATATGAACAGCATATAATAATTACTTTTTTGTCTAGGGTTTGAGCTTTCCCGACGTTACCAAGCCAAGTTGCATGCCATCCGTATCTTATGACTCGAAATTTACTAGTCTGACGTCAAGTCCGTGCATTCTGTGTTGCCACTTTGCCAAGGTTTCTTTTTTTAAGTTCTACACTTCATCCTCTCTTTGCTGAAGAGAATGAGGAAGAAAAATTTGGGAACGGGACGCGGTGACACAGTTGGGGGATCGTCAATCATGTGGGGAGGGGCATGAGCTAGGAACACTGGGCATGAGCATGCATTTCTGTCCTCGCCTTTGTCCTTTTTTCGCTTCTTCAGGGGGGAATTCTACTCATTACATTTTCTTCCCCACCCACTCTCCTGTTTCTTCATCTTAGACGTGATTTCAAGCGATTTCTTTCCGTATTCGTGAAGGTCTCGCTGGAAATCTGCATTTTGTGAAGTTGGAAATCCCTTCCTAAGAAGTTTGTCTCCTTTCGTGCGGGAATGAGACGGTTTCACATGCGACCCGATAATCACGTGTCGCTTTCATCCTCTTACATCATGAGAGCGTTGGGCAACAGGCGTGGATAATGCCATTCATTCGTGGGTCATTCCTCCCATCTAATGCATGTGGATCGTTGAGGTTCGATCGTTGCAAGACTGTTGGCATTTGGCCGCAATCCCTTCCCCCCCCCCCCCAAAAAAAAAAAAAAAAATCCTTTGTTCCACCTTGAGGGAAGGAGGACAAGAGAAAAATCCTTTTCCGCTCGGATGGCGTCATGAAAAGAGAGACTGGGTCATCCTGTCAAACCGGCTCGTGAGTCCGTGACCGGGAAATCGAAACCATCACAAAAATATGCAAGCATTATCTCATCTTCCTTTCTCCCTCTCGAACAACAGTGAATGAATACCGACACTCCTCCAACAGGAATACTGATGACAGAGGAGAAAGCCTTGTGGAAACTCTCTAAGGACAGTTTGTTGTATAATAAGTCTGTCTGCTGTTGGTATGGTTTTATTATTTATATACTCCCTTGACTGTCTTGACAACTGCAAGCGTGTATCGGTCCGATTCATGATATATGCAGTGACTGTCCGAAATGAAGGAAGAACTGGGCTTGAAAAACAAACTCGGTGAAAAACAAACATATGGAACCAGGTTCTTTCTGAGAAAACCATTGCCGCTCTGTTCGAGATCCAGATATCATATCTAAACGAGATAATGGATCAGAAACTCTCATTGACTCGCTTCATTCAGTGCATCAGTTCAAGATAAAGCAGAAATTGCAGATGGTTCTGAGCAGCTTCCTTGTTAGAAGCATGGACAAAGGAGCAAGGAAGAGAAAGAGGAGGAAGTAAAACGGTCTTTCGTTCTCGAATTGAAATACGACAGTCCCGTTTTAAGATAGATAATTTATCCTGAGCAATGGCTGCGGCTGGAAGTCCTTCGTCCTACAAAGCGAGACACGTTTCTAGTGGAGTAGAGTTCGTTGGGGACACCAAACTAAACATACTTGGACAGAAGTGGACCTCGTGGTTGCGAATGAATGTCACAGTCATACCATCAGCTGTCTGCATCCATTTTTTCTGCCTCTCTACTGGAGCCATTGCATTCAGATAAAGCTCATCAAATGGTTTTCCACGAATTGCTCTAGCGGTTTTTTCTACCTGGCCAAAGAAAGCAAAGGGGGGGGGGGGGGCGAAAAGAAGGAAGAAGAGAAGAGAGTGTTGGCAGAGGTCCTTCAACTAGGCAGGTCTGCTTGCGGTGTCAGCTGATGCTTTCTAATTGGGAACTTGTCGGAATTCGTCCCTCCCCTAAATAAACTTTCTCCCCTATACGTACGTACCTCGTTTTTCTTACTCGTGGGGAACCGCGTCCGTGGAGTTTATAACGGTATTTTTTCTGGATTCCTGTTCATGTTCCATTTCCTCCCGTGTCTGTATGACGTAGAAGGCAATCTGAGCTGGAATGAACAAACAAAACATGAGTTTGGGAATGGCGTATCTTGTGACAAGAGAGGACCGACTCTTATCAGGTGACAACGAGTCCCCCTCCATTCTTCTGCGTCCCTTTTGGGAGACCTAATGAGAAAATGCTGGTATCTGGAAGGGCAATCTCTTGCATCGGAGATCGAATCTACCTTCATCAAAGGACATTAGGGGAACCCCCATGTCATTAAAAGGGAACCTATCACTCTTACTGAGTAATTATGGTGGAATTCGTTTTGGGCAGACATCTATGGCTGGAGAAGTTTTTTCAGGGTCAATGCTGATGAAACTCACCATCCAGGAATATGTCGGAGGACTCGAAGAGAAAGGTGTACTCGCGAGCCAAATGGAAGGTCATAAAAAAAACTACGTGAACTCAAAAGTGTGACATTTAGGCGTGGGCGAAGTCATTGAGCTCCTCACCTGTCGAAAAGGAATTCTTCCTCTTGTTATTCCTGGGATTGTTTAAAAAGTAAGAGTATTGGCATTTTTGACAGATGAAATGGTTTAGCCGACTGCCAGAGACGAAACGAGAATGATGAGTCATCCTGGTGTCATAAATGGAGTAGAGGGAGGGAGGGAAAAGGTAGACTCTCATCGCTCGGCTAGTCTTATCCTTGAAAGGAAGAAGAGCTCAAACACAAGGCATGGGAATGCAGAATGGAAAGATCCATGCGGCCTCGATTGTGATGGACCTGTAAAAATGAACCCTGATAGGTGCTTCCTTGCAAATCAAGAATCCCCTCACGAGCCCCTTATCTCAATGTCCATAACTCTCTTTCTCTTACGATCTCAGTAGTGAAAGGAGATAATCGTGAGTGCGAAATAAAAACACCATGACTCCACTGCTTTGTCTGTAGATGAGAATGCGTAATCGGATGTTCGGCAGTTGAGTGTGTGTCCTGTCTCTCGATTGCTTCCTTTCTCCTTCGTGACCTGACCCCTTGGCTTCTGGGTTCTGGCTTCAGATTACCATCTACGACGTTCTTTCTCTTAGTTTAGGTGCATCTTCACGGATAGTGTGACGCGTGCAGTTAAAAAATCAGTTTTGACAGCATTCCTATCTCTCCTAGATAGAATATCGTATCATCATGGAAGGGGCACTGATCTGTCTTTCATTGAAGAGAATTTCATATGCAGGTAATGTTCTCGAAGACTGTCAGGGTTGCTTGATTTAGGGCTGGAGATCATGCCAATCTCCCATTCGTTATTCAGAGTCAACTCCCCTGCCTAGAAGCCATCATTCATGTCTAGCCTCAATCCATGTCATGATGATATCAATGCCTCTGTACGAGACCTCCCTTGAAAACACTCTTCATTCTGCATTCAAGCCGGTAATGGAGTATGAACGGACAGGCTTTCATTGGCTATCCGATACCATTTCTAGCCTTGCGAGAAGACAATGAGACGCTGCATTTGGGGAAGTCACTTCTATACACGAAAGACCCATGGCCAGTATCAGGATGACACTAGCCATTAGTCTTCACTCAGCCAACTATTCCAATATCTGTTCCTAACTATTCGCCCTGTACCTATTCTTTGTCTTTTTGGCCTTGAGAGCCTGACCTTTTTGGCTCTGAAGGGTGAATCCTTAGGACCCCTATGTACAACCCACTGCCATCCGTCATAACTTCTGTCATTTTTCATTGCCCACCTGCCTGATGTCGTTGTTGTACTTTTGTTATGTGATACTCCATTAGGGACAGAAGGGACTTGGGCGAGGCCTACGCAGTGCACAGTGGTTTTATTCCAGTATTGACCGAACTGTATTTCTTGACACTTACATGGTTTGCTAGAATGCGTGGGTTTAGGTTATTCTGCATAATTTTGTTCGTTCTTTGAAGCAAAAAAGATATAATCAGCTTTGATAACAAAAGTTGTGCGTAGTATTTATTGTATGTTTCGGTGAGTCTGTGGACGCTTAGTTTCCTTATGCTTATTTTCGGCCAGCCTATTGAAGCGAATCGCCAGAAGCTCATATGCTCGTTTTCTTCCTTCGGGTTGATGGTCGCGTTGGAGTTAGGACAAGCTGGGGGCCTTTTACTTTCATCCCCTTCTTCCCATAAACATCTTTCCTTCCCCCCCCCCCCCCCCCCCCCCCTTTCGTCACAACATCCCATATATGAGTGAAGACTAATGGCTAGTGTCATCCTGATACTGGCCATGGGTCTTTCGTGTATAGAAGTGACTTCCCCAAATGCAGCGGCTCATGGTTAATCTTTACTGCAATACGAGAAGATTCGGGTTGTGAACTTTGAGCAAGTGTAACATCAAATACGCTGATTGCTTGCATATGATTGAAGTATGTGGAAGGGGCATCGCTAAACTGCAGCTCTGTGGCAGCAGGATATTTATTCTACTTTATACGTTTTTCTTTTTCTGAGATAGGCCAGCCTGTCTGTCATTCACTCGCTTCAGTGAAAAGAAGCGGCGGGACTCTAATATGGATATAGCTCCAAGAACTTTCCATAACCACATGACCCTGTGCGGGAATGCCAAATGAAGAGCAATTGTCCTGCTCAGACACCAGTCCTGGTATAAAAACGTTTGTGACGTTCCTTTTCGTTCATTAGTGTAGCTTCTAAAGAATTTGCTATTCTTTTACAAACACTGTTGCACTTGGCAATAGTTTTCAAAAGCCAAATAATTATTTGGAGCTCAGGAATGCACAGCTTTTTGGCAATTATGCAAATGCGGTGGGGTCCCAAGTCATTGTGCAGTGTGTATTAGGCTCGTGGCCTAAGCGAGGAAAAGAAATCGATAGTATTGCAGACACCCTGGCGACATTCCACCCCTCTCCTCCTCCTCATCGACCCTCTTCCGACTTAACTTCCTACCTTTTTTGCCTGGAGTCGTGGTGAGGAACCCATTACCCATGTTTCACTGAATATATTTCTGGAAAGGAGAGAAATACCGTTTTGCTTTTTTTGCATTTTATTTTGTCATGCACCCCAGATAGTCGTCGCTTCCCTTCCTCTCGGCATTCGAACTCCATGTGGGAAATAGGGAAGTGTGGTGTTTCTGCTTTCCTCTGTTGTATCGACTAACACCTCACTGTAGAACAGAAAGGACAGAGGTCATACATTCACGCGTTCAATGACATGGAAATGGCCTACCCCAACGAGAACGTGACTTCAAACCCGATCGACAGCAGGGTGCGAACTGGCATGGCAATTTCACCTTGCCAGCACTCCTCTCTTCCTTGGCTTGGCCACATTCGTGGTCACCATCCCTCAGACCTGTCCCTTCTCTCCACATACTTCAGTACCCGACAAAGGATGGATTAGGTGCTTCCGTCAGGCTTGGGCGTGGGTGAAAGCGGATAACGAGAACGACACGATAAATCGATGTGTACTGTCTACACAGTATACACAAGGGTGGAGCACTCCCATCTTCGTGTGTCAGTCCCTCTATGTATCATTTCATTCCGTCTCTCTCTTTCATCTCCAGCATCTCCCCTTGTTCTTACCTTGCAACTCCGTCCGTCTCTGCCTGTATCACTCCGATCCTTCGAGCTATCGCATCCTATCCAAAACCCAAAATTTTTCCGCTTCACGTTTAAAATGTTTGTAAATTGACACTCTGACTGATGCGAACCATGTGGGAAAAAGGGAGGGAAGGAAAAAGATAGGGTTTTCAGTGTCTCGACACTCTCATGATGTTCGGTTTGACATGGTAGATAACGCATGTGTCAGGAGAAGAGACGGAACTGATAGAAAAGAAGGTGAAACTAATTGGGAATGTAGGTGCTTGGCGTCATCGGAGTCAGAGGAAAGATCTGTTTCTTCTTGACTCCTTGTGTTCGCTTCATCAGCTAGCTATCAATTCATTGTGCTCTCGTGCCCATGTCGTTGAGAAAAGGTACAATGACAGACTCTTTTTGTCTCATGTTCATGAAAATTTTCCGAAACCTCTTGTCCTTTGGAAGGTCATGGCTGAATGAAATATGGCTATTGGTCTCTCGCAGGAAACGCACAGATGACAACCAGTGGTGGGAGCTGTTCGACCACAACACATCTCGATTCTATTACTACAATGCTAGCAATCAGAAGACAGTATGGCATCGACCCCACAACTGTGATATCATCCCTCTGGCTAAGCTCCAGGTGAGGAGAAGTTTTAAGTATTGGTACACATATTGTTGAAGGGCTGGAAACCTTCTAGATTGAGTCTACAGCAGGTTTTTCTCCTTGTTGGCACTGGCAACGAATGGCAAGCTATGTGTAAGTATAGGTATTTCCAATATTTCAAGGCCCAAATATTGGAGGTTGAGATATTAACTTTCTTTCTTTCTTTCTTTCTTTTTTACCCTTTCAGATCCCGCGTCGTAATTTCTTGAGATTCTCTTGACTTTGCACCCCATATTACACTAAAATGGACTTAATTATGCATAATTCAATTCCGTCAGAGGCCTTCTCTCACTCGTCAGGTTTGTAATCTTCAGTTATGTAATTACATGTATAATTACAATATATGGTATGATATGTACATTTATACGGTAAGCGTATGAGGTGTGACCCATTATTACAATGATTACCCATTTATACAAAATATAAAAATGATATATAGAACATATAAATTTAAATTAGAATAGGAAAATATCTCAAAAATGCAAAAAAGTATATTATTCTGATAGTGACCTTAATTTGGGTCTGAAAGGGTTACAAAAAATTATGGGAATAGTTGTACTAGTGTGTCAGAGTTATTATAGGAAAGTGTGCATGATGTATTTACTTTCAAGCATTATTAAGATGGTGTAGACCAGCGGTGCCCATCCCGTGGCCCGCGGGCAAAAAGTGGCCCTTGAAGTAGTTACAAGTGGCCCGCGAGGCCCTAACCCACAATACCCTCAGGTTTCCTTAAAATAGTCTCCTACAATATTAATGACTTAATATGGCCCGTGATGGCGGTGGTATCGAGCTATGTGGCCCCCTAGCCGAAAAGGTTGGGCACCGCTGGTGTAGACCATGAGAAGCAGGGCATCAAGTGAAAGCTCTTGATATATTATGAACTGTATAGATGGGTCTATTTTTCATTCCTTTAAGGAAGGCCCAGTCATGCACAAGATTTTAGGCACTGACTTCAAGAGTTTCAGAGAGGTGAAGCTGTGCAACACTAATTTTATGATTTTGGGTGCTATTGCTTCATACAGCATGGTTCATGTGAATTTGCATTCTTGTTCTGCTTTGTAGATTCTGAAGCAAAACACAGAAGTGAGAGGAGAGGAGATGCAGGCTAAGAATCCAGTGTGCAAGGAATCAATTGCTACTCAGACTCCTTCTCATCCACTCCCTGTATGGCCATTTCATAGGCCTCTCCTTCTACTATGAAATCTGTTTGTGTATTGCATTGTAAAATTTCCCTTCCCAGCCACGAAGTTTCTCGAGTACAAGCTGCCGAGAAGAGGGAAACAAGAAGATGGTAGACAGTGAGACACAGACCTCTCCAGCAAGTTCTCCAAAGCCCTTACAGTGCTCCAGGACTTCCCATCATCATCACCATCATCATCACAGGCACCAACCGCAAGCACCACCATCTTCTTGGTCTAGTCGTAGCTCAAAGAATCAGGTGGGCCTTCAATTTTTCTCTGAGTCATTCTTATTATAGATGCACTAATGCCAGAATTTCACTGATACTTTGGTATCAAGTGTCAAAGTGGCAGATGCCCATACCAATACCACAAAGTTGAAAGCCTAGCAGAGGATTGACTCAAAGTAGGTACTCATGCTATTCACTGTGATTTGGTTTCTTCTTCCTGTGCCATGCCTGATGATAGGCAAAAAGGTAAGCAATGCATTCACAGCCCATTTGTCAATAGTTAGGTTTGCCTCAAAGAAAATTTGCCTGCTTTTGTCTTTTAATCTCATCTTCCCACTGCCTGGGAATTTGGACTGCATAGCTACTCAAAAAAATTATGATTAGTATATGTGCACTCCTATTTCAAATACGGGTGGGGATGAGAGTCAGTCTTGTGCTAGCTTATCTACTTTGTGATGATACATTGTATGGGTCAAAGCAGACATTTAAGTTAACCCATCAGAGCTGAATGTTATAGACTTATAATCACCTTTCTTACTCATTTGTAGCTATATGTAGAGGAATATGCCTATAGGTACCACTGCCTCTCTTCCCTCCAAGTCTCACAAGGATGGGACTGTATGGCACTCTTTATGGTCATGTCATGAGAGTGCAAAAGGAGATGGCCCAGAACATAGTAATTTTGGCTCAACTGAATTCAATGAAATGTGTATCTATAAAAAGGATATCCTTTGCTAAACTCAAATGTAGGTTTTTATTAAAATTTGATTAGTTTGATGAGGTTAGATTAGATTTGGTTTGACAAAAATTAGTATTTGTGTGACTTGCTTGGATGCTCTTGTAAATCCAAAGAAAACGTGAGACTGAAAAATTCCTATTGCCTCATGTTTTGAGCAAAATCATTCACCATGTGTTCCTGGATTGCTTATGTAGGAATTTTATATTGGCCCTTTTCTCACAAATGTTCATTTTTGTACTTGCAGATTGACTTGTGTACACCAAAACTCATGTTATTCTTTATTTAATTTGGAGATTATGCAGCTAGTTACTCACAAATATATTTTGATTTGGAAAAGTAACATAACCTAACCTTTTAAAATAGTTCAGATTTGAATTATAATTGCTTTTTGAGTTGAGCAAAGAAATTCCTTTTAAAATGAATATATAATCAAATACAGTTTAGGAGCCAAAACTTGGCATATTCCTATAACGAGGGGTATATGTATACCACTGCATGCCATTACTAAGCATGCCATTTACACTTGAAATGCATAGCTATTATGTTTAGCTGCTTGTTCACTGCTTGAATTTATTTTAACTTTTTAACTTCCCATCTCTCATGAGCTACTTTCACAAAACTTGCTCAGTACATTGATTGATATATGCTCCTAATAGACCTTTAAAGTTCCATTGAAATAAGTTTTGCCAAAATCAGAATCACTTAAGCCCTGAGCCACTGCATGCACAAAGGCATTGTAAACTAATTATTCAAGAGGAAATCAGCAATTGAAAGTGGATAGTGGATTTAAGTACCATTGGAATGGGTAGACTTGACCCACCTCTGTCTCTGAAAAACCGAATAAAAATCTGATTAAAGTCCCTTAACTTCTGAACATATTCACAGTATTAATACTTTTTGATTCATCTATCATTCAATGGAAAGCTTTATAGCTGTAAAAAGTGAACTTTATGACTGAGAAATAACCAGTCCAATGCCAATACCAATAAAGATGTGTTTGCATGTTGTTGGTACCAAGGTGAATCATGAAATGTAGAACACTTGAAGGCAATGTGGAATTTATGTGGACATTATTTCCTATTTTCAAGTTTTATTTTTGCAATTTGGCTACTTAGACCATATTGTTTGATAGTAAGCTAAGAAATAGTGAAGTGTTTTTCAACTGGGCTAATGGAGATAAAATAAACCAAAGGCATTCATTACAAGCATTCTTAGGGTGAGGTTTTTGCGGTTGAAAACAAACAATTTCATTTTAAATGTTTTACCTTTTTTGTAACTCGAGACTTTAAAAAGTTTATAAATGCATTCAAATTGCTTGATATCATGCTTTAGCCTTTAGCCAGCTTTCTAGCTTGAGTAGATTGGGAGATGGTGCTTTTTGTCCTTTGAGCCAGTTCACCCTTTTCTCCCAACTTTCAACTGAGTATACGTCAAAGACCATTGGACCTAGAATTTTACATCTCAGGCTTGCAAACTTCGTATAATCCCAAATAGTTACTTTTTTTTTCAGTAAACCACCTTAGGTCCACTTGATATGGAATGGCTCAGCTATGAGAGAATTTGTGAGCAAAAAATCTGCAGGAAATATTGAAAAGTTACAAAATAGCTGAAACTTTTTCTCATCAGTTTTCATTTCCATTAGTTTGTAACTTGAGGTAAGTCATGTGACATATGAGTTTGCTGATACTTTTGATACAAGCATTTCCTATAAGATTCAGATCATTTCACTTAGTTTTAAGAATTAAATCATGCACATTAGAGTTGAAGGGATAAAAAAATCATGGTATGCATACGTGTTCTCATCTCCCTGTCCATCCCTTCTTTGACAATCCAGAAAATCATATTTGCTTTGAGATGAAATGTGAAACTAATCATACATTTAAAAATAATTGATTGCCAAATTTTGAGTCCTTCACAGGTGTCAGACATCAAAGAGCACAGCAGCACATATCTACTGATGGTATTGATACTATTAGGCCTGCCAGTGCAGATGTTTTTTTTTTTTTATTGTCAAGTCTGTCAAGGTGATTTTATTGGTCATTACAGGATGTGGGTCGATTGAGTGACTCCAGTTCCTACTCCCAGAGCCAAACATCTTTGGATAGTGGAGGGTGCCGCTTCCTAGATCCAGGTCCTCGAGGTCATATCCAGACTTCTCATTCATCCATTGACAGTGTGTCTCGCCTGAAAGCATGTGAATTTGGCAAGAGAGATGCAGTGACATCCTCAAGATCCATTGAGTCTCCATCCAGTTCCAATCACAGTTCTCCTAGTCATCACTGCAACAGCCGAGGTCCTCCTTTGGATGAACCCCCACTTGAATTCCTAGCCAGCAGCACACCTGCCTTCCATCGTAAGCACTCAGAACCAGGAAGAGGTGCCAGCTTCCGACTTCTTGATAAAGACCCCAGACGCCGAGGAAGTCGTGATGATCGCCCTCCAGTCAAAGAATCTTCATCAGTGATACGTAGCTTCAGCTTCATGTCCCGCAGGGATGGGTCCTTAGAAAGCAATGCTTCTTCTGGTCATAGTGGGATGCATTCTGTAGAGTCCACTCCTCAGCCACGTCGACGTCACAAGTTTCTTGATTTTCGCAACCTCACCAAGCAATCTTCTGTTGAATCACCCACAAAGCAGAGTTCAGTGGATGGTCTGGTGACACCCATGCTCAATCGGAGGCAAAAATCTCTAGATTTAGTGAATCTCCCTAAAGGGAAGGAGAACTTCAGTGTCTATAATGTGATCCGTAAACGGGAAAAAAGTGCCAGTGGTGCAAAGTCTCACCATCTATCTGATTCCTCTCCAAGTCCACAGAGCCCAAAGAACTCCAATGACATCTGTTCCCTGTTTGATGTGACAGCATCTTCCCGTGGGGTTGACAGTGGGAATTCTACCTTGAATCATGATGCCTCACATGGTGCTCCATCACGGGACACATCCCCACAATCACAGGAAGACTCTGGTCTGATGTCAGCTACAACAGAAAGCCGCGGTTCTATTGATTCTGTGCCAGCCTCACGCTCCAAACAACCTGAGTGCAAGTCCTGTGCCAAAGAGTCTAAGTTAAAGTCTTCCAGTTCATTCAATTTTGGCAAGCTTGGAAAAGACACTAAAGATCGATCCCAAATGGAAAATCATACGGGAGGGCTGGATGAAGAGGAGAGGCAATTGTACTGCAATCTGGACTCCCGTTTTCAACCTCTCACTCAATACCTTGTGGAGCAAGCCAAACTCTCTGGTTACAGGTGACATTTTTGTTTCCATGTACAAAGGCACAGTGAAATTTCTTAGGTTCTGTGTTGAATATTAGCTAATATTGGGAAGACTGGTGCCAGTTGCTATTGGCATCAGCAGATCCAATATTTTCCCGTAGCAGTATCTGATAATTTTATTATAATATTTGTCATGCAGATTACTCTTCATCTGAATTGTGTCCATATACCTTTTTGACAATCCCTGTTTGATTGACCTACATGATAGGCATAAGCCTTGATATGAAGAAAAAAAACTACATTTGTGCCAGCAACTGCTCCAAGAAATTTGAAATGTCAAAGATAGGATTTTGGCATTGCAGCTCCAATCAGAACATCTGTATATTAGATATTAGCAAATATATAATATTATTGCATTTATAAGATTAACAAATTTAGTGGTGTGAAAACAAAATATCCATTGTGCCATTGTGTCTTCTCCCATCTGCTTCTGCACTAACTTTGAGGTAAGCAAATCCATGCCTTGCTTTCAGGTATGGAGATCCTCTAAGCGATGACAATGATTCCCTGGCCTCAGAGAAGTCAGAGGGGATTCATGGTGGAAGTGATGATGAATTTGCTGATGATGAAGGGATGTCCCAGCCTGATTCCTCATCCCAGGAATACCTTGATGATAGTGCATATCCTGAAGATGAACGAGAGACTTATGCTCACTTCCAACATTCATTCAACTTCTCTAAACTTCAGCCTGAATACCTTCGCTTCCATTGTGGCCCAAGTAAGGCCATGGCTCCAGCCAGACACTGGATATTTTTCATTCATGTTGAGGAAGCATCTTAGTGCAGCATTGTAAAAATTTTGAACAAACTGTGATTGAAAACTCTTTCATTGTGTGTTTGATGTCATTCCAGGTGGAGTGTATGACAATACTGGTCCATTGATCGGTGGGAACTCAGGGATTCTGACATCACTGACAACAGCTGGTGACTCTGCTTGTATAACACCCCCCTTTCCTCGTGTTCTCCTTCCATCCCCCTCATCCCGATCCGGTGCTTCTCTTCGATCGGACCTCCCTCGTGCTCATTCTGCTACTTCATGCAATGATCCTCACATTTATTCTCCTGTCCTCGAATTTTCTCAGGTTTTTAGCTCGCAAACCTTTGTGTCTTTTCACTTAAGGATTAAGATGCAGCTAATAAGTGTTATATTTTTGGTGTTTCAGACACTAGAAAAGCCAAGTCATGATCACATGGATGGCAGGACTAAAGGGCTTCGCAGCTCTGCCATACAGGAGGCTACAACAAGTCCAACAGATGCCATTGTCCCTGACAACCTCAATGTGTACAAGAAGGGCCTGTTTCGTAAGAATGTCTCTCCTTCAGAGCTTTTGTCATGGAGCAAAGAACCCATATCTCAGCCTTTGTTGGTGACTCCTGAGAGGCAGCTGCGCAAGGCTAAGCGTGTCATCTTCAAGCTAATACAGATCTATATGGGAGACAGGAAGGCAAAACACGGGATGACCCTGAGTTCAGTGGCACATGAGATAGTACTTCAGGGTTATAGAGTTGAGGCATTACGAGATGAGCTCTTTTTGCACATCTGCAAGCAAACCACTGATAATCCCCGAAGGTTAGATTTGGCTTCAATCTAATACCAAAGTATTCTCCTATACAAAGCCCATGGTTTTATAATGATTGATGTTGGTATTAGGGAGAGCCTTAGGAGAGGATGGGAACTGATGGCAATCTGCCTTGCCTTCTTTCCTCCAAAGAAGGAGTTCATTCCCTACCTGAAGTGGTATGTTGAGAAGCACAGGCATCCTGGTTTGAAGATGGACAACATCACCAAATGGCCCATTCACGTAAGACCCTTATAGTGTGACTTCTTTAGTGAATTCATTGTTTCTGTTCTGAAAATGTTTTGATTTAAGTGTTACTTCCCATAAAAAAAAGTTCTTAGTTTCAGTTTTAGAATCATTTTTTGGTATTATCTGTTTCTTTTCAAGTAGCAGTTTCATTCTAAATAGTGATGTGTACAGAGTTGTTCAGAGATGTTGCCATCACCTTGCATTTTACATTTCTTTGACTCAGCTTATGTAATGCATAAACTTATGCATGATAAGATGAAAATAAGATCTGGTACTACTTCAACAATAATTTACCATGGTCAGGGTATCAGGGAAAACAGTCATATCTGAATCACATGAGCTACTTGTTATCAATTTTAATTGTGGGCAGTCACTTTAAAAAACTGCTCATTTATTTTCATGAAATTATTTTGTAAAGGTCATGGGATGAACAATAAAATATTACAAGGATATGAATGCATATTGACATTTTTGTGATGTTTTTGAAATAAATAATATCAGAATTAAGTCTTCATTTTAGCTTCTGATTTTGAAATGAATATCAGTTCAAACTTTAATTAAATCTAAAATACTCAGCCAACCATTTATTTTTAAAATCAGGCCAACCCTTAAATAGGTAGCTGTAGCAATAAGAATTATATCTATAGAAATGACACATAACCATAAGTGCAATATATTATGCAAAATTTGGAAGTTATCAAAGTATAGCAAAGGTTTGGAGAATGATGCAATAAAATAAATATGGTGATGGCAAATAAATTTGCCACCACCATAGTTTCACTTTCTGCTTCAGTCGTCTAAAAGCCAAATTCATCTGTTTTGGTAATTTCAGTTGTCTTGGAACCTCAATGCATCCATAGTGATTTTCCCCATCAGTATTTCCATTGCAAAATGTGATCATTATGAACGGGAATGAAATTAGTTGTGTGGTATTACAATTATTGTCTCAGGTGCAAGTGAGTCATTATGCAGATGTGAGCCAATTGCGCCTGGAGCGCATCACAGCCAACTCTGCACGTCGGGAGTACCAGGAACCAACAGTCAAGGATGTTGATCGCTCAAGGGTACAATTGCACTTCCTTTCAGTGTCCTGGCTCTCAACTTTTCATAGACTGAGCTTTTTTTTTTCTATTGTTGTTTTTTTCTCCATAGGTTCAGATTTTCCGGCCAACAATGTTTGGGTGCAGCCTTGAAGAAGTTATGTCCCTTCAAAAGGAGCGTTTCCCAGACCGACATCTTCCATGGATTTTGACAACACTTTGCACTGAGATACTTCGGCTTGGAGGCGCCAAGACTCTGGGGATTTTCAGGTGGGAGTGCCCTATTTAGTATTAACAGTTGCCTTTCCTTTTCTATCCCTCAGTTTTGGTACAGTAACTTTTAACCTTCAATGTTCTCAAATTTTTTCACTGCAGGGAAGCACCAGATCATCGAGAGTTGGAAGGTGTTCATGAAGAGTTGGACCTGTGGCGTATCCCTAACTGGACCAATCCTCTTGTTCCAGCAGCAATCCTCAAGCGTTGGCTTCATGATCTCCATCCACCACTCATTCCTTTAGCAATCCTCAAGGAATGCATCAAGAATGTGGATTCACCACCACAAACGTCTGCTGCAACTCCTACCACCACTTCAGATCTTCCGATTTCTCCCCCCCCATCATCTGTTGTACTACTTCAGAAACACATCACACCCTTGCATCGGCTGGTGCTTGGCTACCTCATCTCTTTCCTTCAGGTGACATTTGATTTGAAGTTTCCCAATATGAAGTTCTACAGTACATATTATTATCCTGCTCTACCTTATCCTGTCAGGTCATAATAATTTTTTAGTCATTATTTAGTTACACTTATTATGTTTTCCTCTGTATCCTCATTTAATTTTCTTATAAAGGCCTGTGCTGGTATCTATTGGATACCAGCACAGTCAAACCCAGTCATTTCAACACATCACATATGTAATCTTCATAACAAAATGCACATACAGAATCAACTGTGGCTTTCATATTGGAAAATAGATAGATAGTTGGATCTTGTTCTGCTGTAATGAAAGGTGATTTAATTTCCGAAATGTCTCATTTCCCATGGAGTCTTGTGATGTTCATTCTACTATTAGAAAATCCTCCCCCTCAAGTTACTGTATTCATGACTTTGACCTAGTTGTGGTGCATGAACAAGTCCTGTGCTCTCTGACTTTTGATTGCACTTCTCAAAGTATGTTAGCATAAGCATGGGCTTATGAGTTTAACCTTGATCTGATGAGAGGGACAACTGTTGTCCTGCAAAATGTATTTTTCATGCACAAATGCTATACTGCAACTTTTTGGGAAAATGTTCTGATATTGTCAATAATTACTTCACTGTTAACAGTTTATTTTAGAATAGTTAGTTATACTACTCAGTTAGTGAGTGTTTACAAGCTGCATAAAAAAAATCCAGCTGCCAGCACTTGCATGGGAGATTTTAATCCCTGCAATAAAGGTTAGGTCAAGCCATGAGAATAATTTTTTAAATATGACTTTTATGTTTGCAGACTTTGTGCCAAGCAGAGAATGTGCAACAGAACCGGATGACTTCATACAACTTAGCTGTGGTGTTTGCACCTAATGTCACTCGGTCAGACACAGTAGATCCTCTGGAGCTCCAGGATGAAATCATTCGCACGAATGCCTTCTTTGAAGCCCTCATCAAGCACATGGACACTGGATTTGTCAAAGGACTCCTGTAATCTAAGGCCTCCTGCAATTCACATCACTTCCTCAGGCGAAGCTTCATATCGGGCCTTGTGTCCACCCTCCCTAGTCAAGCCTTTGAAGCCTTTGCTTGTTCTAGTATTTGAGAATATCTGTGACTGTGAATCTACCGCGTTTTTGTCATGGGAGGTATTTATCTCAATATGGTGCTTTTTAGTTGTTTCTGTTGCTTTGGCAGCTGAAGAATGCTCATTACATTTCTCTATCCCTTTTCTAGTTGCCTCTCTCAATGTAAATACAAAAAAATACGGGAGTGTACAAACAGCTTCGGTTCATGAAGGAAGTATGGTATGGTTTTATTTATTTTCGAGACTCGTCCAGAGTCCATGATGTGATTCAGACGTACCAGGTCCGATGCGATTCCTTTCCCCGATCAATCCCTGTCCAAGTGTATTTGATATCCACTGCAATAAAGAGATTTTCTAAGATCAGAAGAGTTTCGTTTGGATGAACATGCTCAGCTCCGTGTTGGATTTCAGTAGTTCTCAGAATATCCCCGGTCAGAAAGCCATCATGGCTGCTGCCAAATTGTTGAATCATTGCAGACCTATTGTGAATTTATCTCTAAGGAATTGCCATATCACACTAGTGTTGGGTCTAAAATTGGTGAATGGCTCATGGGTGCCAGCTGAAGGATAATAACTACTGTACCTGCCCATGTACAGTTTTGCCACTCTACTGGTCACTCTGCCATTGGCTTCATAGACACCTCTTTATGACCAGACGCTACCGCCTAAATATCATCAGGGAGGCTTGCTTGTTTCTCAAGATTAATATCGCTCAAGTTTATTTGCGGAAAGACAGAATGGAAAATGAAGTTTTTTGCTTGCAGTAAAATGAAAGATTTTGCCATAGTGTGGAGAAGAAAATTGAAACTTGGTTGAGACAGAGTTTCTGTAGACTTCTATGAGCAGTCGAGGTTAAATGCGAGGGAGGAAGGTTTTCTTTCCTTTAATGGGGTATTAACATGAGCTACGGGAAAAGAATGCAAAAACGTATATTTTTTTAAATACCTGTGTACGGCCGGAAGGAGAAAATAAAAGGAAAAGTTTAAAAGTTTAAAACCAACCGGGATATCTGCCGCTTTCGAAGCAGGTCACTATTTGAAAGACAAATGCTCATTGCATGCGATTATGGAATCTTATCTGCCAGGAAGTACGTGGTTCCTTGTGAGGTTGCGGCGTGGCGGGGTTAAGTGTGAGAGGTGGACGTTAAAGCGAAAAGAATTCCATTGCAGATAGCTGCAGCCCAATCAGGGTAACAACGTATCAGCTTTCATGAGACTCACGATTTCCTTTACAGTACTTGTTCTCATGACGTCATTCCCAAACAAGGGAATGCCCTTGGGAAATGAAAGAGGAAGGGACGTTGTATATACTGATTCATGATGACCCCTGGCTTTCAATTCCATGTTGAAGTATGGATGAACTCCCCTCAAAGGAACTAATGTGCATCTTGATGCAACTCGAGGCTATCATAATAACAGGAGCGACGTTTTGAAACTTGAGATGAGCATCATGGGCGTCTTCCCTGCTGCGTGAATCTCTTGTTTAGGAGTCTTGGGCTCCTCGCTAGATACTAGAAAGCCTAATTAACGTTCCAACAAGCCCTCGTTTTTCGTCCATGACTCAGTACCTATAATAGGAGAGAGCCCTCTTAAAATTTAAGTTTTCTTCATGTAATGCATGATCACGAAAAAAAAACAAAGAATTCTTGCTATGCCTTCAACTCCCCATTTATCCACTATTAGACAGGCTGTAGCTCCTGGCTCCTCGGTCATTGGTGCGCTGATGGGCAACTGCCAATCGTCACATTGTATACCCTAACCTCATAGCAATAATTGACTTTAAAATTAAAAAACCCTCAAAATTGAGAGAACAAGGCAAGAAAAAGTCTGCGAAGCGTTGCCACAACCGCTCCTTGCGTAATGATATATTAGAGCAATAAATCTTTCGGGACATTAATTGGCGCTTAATACAAAACTGCACCACAACGCCATGAAGCCTTTGCTTTCCAGTTATGGAGCTGCATACAAATTGAAAAGATTGCAAAGAGAAATTTTCCAGAAATTACCTTTCCCCCATACTTTATAGATATTGCGCTTCTGCAGGGATATATTCTCATCGAACGCCTCTCGTGGCCTTCCCATTTAAAAGAATTTTATCAAGTTGCAGCCACCTCTATACTACGATTTTACTCCAGCGATACGGTCAACGTGAAATCGCGAGAGAAATCGCACGCATGGCTCTGGGAAACTGCGGAAAAAGTTGATAAAAAGGACCCAAAAAAAAAGGAGTTCACTGGGACAGATGGTCGTAGAACTAATGGCATTTTCGGGCAGCGGTTTCCCGCAGCCGAAGGCATCACTTCCTCTTATTGCATTCAGGAATGCCTTTTGTTACACAGTAGAGACGTTTTTTAATACGGACCAACGATTCCATCGTCTTGCGTAAATCATACTCCTACTCTCGTCATACATCAGCGTCGATGGCCTGGAAATGAGTTATTTCCCCTCGCTACAACTCTATGGTGGCAAGTGCACAAAGATAAAGCGAGATCTTCAGATGAGCCACTTCTCAGAGCACTACACGCTCAAATGCCTATTGTCTAATGAGGCGATTCGTCCCCCCCCCCCCCCCCCCCCCCCTAGGAGAATATTTTTCCCGCTTTTGAGGCGTCACTCCGGGAGGTGCTTCGTCTCTTCGCAACCGAAAATGTTTTGGGTTTCCAGTTTCGTGAAAAAGGGGTGGAGTTCTCTGTGAAATTGAGCTGTGGACATTAGACACGTTGTGGGATGTATATTTAGACTCATAGGAAAGCCATCCCGATCCGGGAAGAAAACAAATCCAAAATAGGGATTGAGAAAATGTTAAGTCTTGAGTCACACCAAAGACAGGCGACATTGAAGAAGACCTGCTCTTGCAAACGGAAATTTATCGATGCACGGTTCTATAAAATGTATTATGGATTTCTCGGAAAACTCGCCAAAAGTCGAGAAATGAGTATAGCAGAACCACCGGGATGAGTTTGGATGAATGGGACACCGACGACATTGCTTTACCTTCACGATCTTCATATTACAGGTGGTAAGTATTGAATAAGCACCGGCACTCAAACGAATTTCCAATAAAGCTGTGCTTTAATTTGGACGCTTGAGATTCTTGACTCGACCTTCAAGGGCATCTCCGATTGAGCAAGTGATGCAAGGACAATAAGGACATAAGGGCAATCCGAATATTCCACGAAATTAGCTCGAACAAGACGTGTCGGACCGATTCGGAAATTTGATTTGGAGATCCTCTGAGAAATGAGATATCCCATGACACAAAATTATTTGCTTTTGCATTGACATGGCGCACTTGAGTTAATCTTCCATTTTGATGCTGACTTTGAGAAGTCGGGACGGAGAAATAATGAATAGATCTAAAAATTGAGTCGTCAATGATTTAAATGATTTACTTCTTGAGGCATGAAGTACTGAAAAAGAAAAAAGTTCTCCGAGAAACTGACGGAAGAGCGAAAGACGTAGAGACGGTCGTAGAGCAAGAACGACAATGCCAATTCGAGAAAGGACGGTAACGGTACCGATGGGTTCGATCCCTTCAAAGGGATTCCAAAGGGAATGCATTTTGGGAATTCTGGATTCTGGGATTCAAGTTTGCTCTAAAGCAGTGATTCTCATACTGGGGGGCGCGGCAGTGCACGAAAGGGATCGCGAGGTGTATTGCATTATACAGGAATTATATTTTTAAATTACGAAACTTCTAACAATTCTGGGGAACAATTTACAGCCTTGACTCAGAAAGGCTCACACTTCACACTGAGAGGTGTGCAACGCCCGAGAATGCTCTAAGTGGGTCGCGTGTTCAAGAAGTTCGAGAACCACTGCTCTAAAGTATATACCTGCTTGCGGTTCGGACTCCATGAAGCTCGAAGGCATTCTTCGATGTGTTAGCTTTCGTTGCCGTACACATTTCATTGAAGACGGGTGATGGCAGGGCATGTGGCCTCCTTCCAACCGGAGATAGAAGAGATGGTCTCCGAGAAGCAATGTCATAAGTCTCATTGGCAAACGGATTACGGCAGATACGACCTTGGATAATGACTGCGATCCTCGAACATCAAGTCGGCGCTTCATCTAATAAAAGTTGAGCATCACTGCTCTAGACTCTCTAAGAAGTAGAATATTAGGCCCGAATGCACAAACCTAATTTACGGGAGATACGGGGCTTTTAAGCTAAAGAGCTCTTTCCCCCCCCCCCCCCATAGGATTTCATGTATTCTTAATGGACCGTTAACTAAAGAAGGAATTTCAGCATTCGGGCGTCAGGCTTCTGCGGTTCCTTCAGATTGCATAGACTCGGCATGCGACTGTCCGTTCCCCCTCATTCTCCTTCCCCTCGGAATATTGACTTCACATTACTATGTACGGGTCAATCCACCTTAAGTGTGCCTATTGCCTGGGCTCGACCGTCTCAGAATTCAATCGAATTTGGCAGACAGAGGTATTATTTTGAGAATAGCATACAGCCAACATCTTACAAATCTGCTTGAAAGCGCATTCAAAACTTTCTCGCGTTTATGGTGCTCATGTACAAAGTGATTATAAATTAAGTATCTCATTTGAGAGCGCTATTATTGGATGATGCAATCGCACAAGCATGACAAGTGGCACATGGGGTATCAATTCCAGCATCTATAGATTCTTGCCAGTGGGGCTAAACTAGTGCCAAGACCCTCCTTCCCTCCTTGCGCGCGGATTATATCGTTGCCTGGCACTAAAAGCGTTAAGTGCCATGAGAAAAAATCGTATAAAATACGCTGTTCTACACAGAGTATCCATCATGAGGGTGACAGGGGTGCATTCTTTCAAGTTGTACTACATAAATGGCATGACTTCGATGCAAATTATGCTACGGTGGCACCCGTCGAGTTCTGAGGTTGTGGAATGTTGCTTGTTGCACTCCCAGTGGCAAGATTTGGCAAATGCTTCAATTGATTCCCCATGTGTCATTACGTCTGCGGTGGTACCGTTCTATACATTATAGTTTAGGCGCTATAGCGCTCTCACTTGGGATACTATCTTTGTAATCACTCAGTATATACTTCTGAGTTATACAGCTAGAGAGGGGCCACCCCCTTATAAAATTTTTTGGATGTACAATACATGCGGACTTGAGTCGTTTTACTCCTTTCCGGTTTTCCCTAAAGTTGTCCGAAATCGATATTCAGATGACATTGTCGCTGAAATCGCCGAGGTGGGACGTTGCTTGTGCGTTGTGTTACGCATTCGCGTGGATGGAAGGAGCAGAGATATTCTCCAAGACTCGGCAGAATGCCTTATACAGCATAAACGGCGTCAAGACAGTTTGAGGAAGGTGCAAGAATCATTTTTGCTTTTATAGATCGACAAAAAAAATACGTTTTCAGTTTGTCTTTTGAACAAATAGCCAAAATTTGGTAAAAGTGCATTATCCGCTCCTTCTACTACGCAAAAATGAAAAAATTCAGCTATATGCGGAATTGATTAGGTAATATTGCCATGGGCATTCGAACCTATCGAATCTGCCCGCGAGTCAAACCGAAGAAGAGTTGAAGAATCTCGCCATTCCAATGCGGTACTCTGAAATATTTGGAGGGGGGGGGGGGGGGGGAAGTTTCAGGTGCCCAAAAAAAAAAAAAAGAAATAATACCTCTGTCTGCCAAATTCGATTGAATTCTGAGACGGTCGAGCCCAGGCAATAGGCACACTTAAGGTGGATTGACCCGTACATAGTAATGTGAAGTCAATATTCCGAGGGGAAGAAGAATGAGAAACCAAGTGTAAAACCCTTCGGTACAAAGTGTAATCAGGCTTATCAAATAAAGAAGACTTCGGGGCGTAGATGGTGCCAGTTCATCTATGGCCGGAGAGGAATATGACGAGAAAGATGCGAGATGAAAAAGCAGCTCATATAGGGCCGCATGCTGTCTTGTTACCCCCCTTCACCTGGTAGCAAGTGCGAGGAATGAAGTCGGATGAGGAAAATTTCGCATGAGGTTTATTACGTCTCTGACTTGGGACAAGAATCACGGTTAGGCTAGGCCTAATACAATATACTTCTCGCACGAAATACAAGAAATATGCCTCCCTTCAAGCAGTCTCTGTCCTTGCAACAAAAACTCCGTAAAGATGAATTCTCTCGCGTTCCATCGGTAAACTGTAAAACTAGGGGAGGAAAAAATAACTTGAGGTGTGAGAAATGTCCATTTGAAACGAGCCACGGATGCAGGACGAAAAAGATCACAGATAGGAAGATAGTTGATTTTGGCCTTGATGAAGTGCGGCAAGAAGGTCCCCTTTTCGACGGACGAAAAGCCGTCCCTTCCGCCACGGATTTTGAAGGTCCAAGGGTCGGAAGTCGTCGCGGAGACATCGTTCTCGAGCCCCGATTACTGCAGCCAGGCAGAATTCCCTCAACTGCTCGCCGCTGTAGACTGGACCGCCCTTCCCCTTCATGATCACAGCCATGTTCAACTGTTGAACGACCAGGTCTACCACCTCCCTGGCCGTGGTGCGTGGAGTGACATGGAGTTTCACGGATGTTCCACTCGCCAGGCCGGTCTTGTAAGCGGCATAAACCTGGATGACGCTCGGACCACCGCTCTCTTCCCGATCTTCTACTCCATCCCTACCATCCTCGAGGGAATGGAGACTCCCCGTTCGGCTACTACCTGCCGACGACGAGTTTTCACTGACCCTCTGCACGGAATAGTCCAACGAATGCTTCTTCCTTTTTCCTTCCACGCTGCTCGGTACGTGGAGCATACTTTCTCGACCCGGACCGCTGCAGTCTGGAGCGCTGCATTTTCTTAGAGCTGCCTTTCTCATCTCGCTTGCCTCTTCCGAGTCATCGTGAACTGACAGGCTGTTCTCGCTTCGTGATTGATTCAATTTCCCTTCTGGACCGGCAATGGTCTCGGCACCGGCACTGTGTCTCCAGTCTGGGTAATGAGCTGACAGAAGATCGGGATTATTCCGGTTGAATACGCTCTCCGAGGAAGAGGTGAGGGAATCGGAAGAACTGTCAGGTTTGGTGACCCGAAGGAGACAACCAGAAGTGCTAGCCCTGTGAGGAGCTTGAGAGTGATCTTGGTAATCATGGTAACCCTGATAACCCTCTCCCATGGCGAGACCGATTTTTCTATGTATGCTCAGTCTGACATCCGTGCTGCACTTGGTGAGCTTTTGACGGACTTCTCCGACCACCTGTCTGGCAAGGATGTCTGGGCTCCTAATGGCATTCAACGAGGAAGTCGAGGATGCCAGAGAATTGGGGATGGTGCCCAGGGTGCTTAAGAGTTGGGACACCTGGATGCTCCCCTGGGAGGTCTTTTCCCGAGCGTAAGAAAGGGCATCCATGAGCCATCGGGCGCCTTTCCACGTGTTCTCAACTCGAGACTGAATCTCCTGAAGGCTACTCAGTCGCAACTTCGCCAGGGACACCTCTTCTGATGAAAATGCCTTCAAAGAGTCAAGAGGGAAGAAAATAATCAAATTCAATCCAGAGTGCGAGGAGAAGGGACTTGTTACAGTGGCACTGGTACGCTTACCTCTCGGTTGGCCAAATGAGCAAGCAAGCTGTCGAGTTCGAGGATGGACGAGAGTCGGGCATATCGGCAGATGAGATCCTTTTGATAAGTGCGGAGATGAAGCATCTCGAATACCGGGACAGGGATGGGGATGAGGTCAGGATGAAAGGTCATGGAACTGCTTTGACCTGGTGCCAGGCATACGCTCTCGCTCGGTGGTAAAACCAGGATGAAAGACACCCCTGAGCTCACCTCCACCACCTCTTTTGCATAGATCCTGCACACACGCACACACACATCATAAATAGACATAAGGATATAAGGAGACCCATTTTCTGGTTAAATCTGCTTTACCTGTGCAAGATGGCTTCCTCATCTCTAATGTCCAAGTAGTGGAATAACTTCCTGGCAGCAAAACAGATCTGCTTTGGGAAGGATGAATCCCGATGTTTGGGACTGGTACTGGGGCTGGGACTATGACTGTGACTGTGACTGTGACTATAGCTGCGACTAGATCCATGTTCCTCCCTTGCCGTTTCCTCCTCTAGGTCCTCCAACCCTTTGTCCATGTGTGAAATGCTCTCCCATTCCTCACTATTTCAATCAGAATTGAGACGCATTTTAGAAATGATTAAATAAAGTATTGAAAAATTTCCTCAAATACTGTGATGGATTGAAAGGGAAGAGAAAGGAGACCTGGATACGTGGGGATTGTCACGGATCTTCCAGAAGGGGAGAGTGTTGGGGACCTTCTCGGGTACAAGGATGGAGAGGGAATCCATAGAGCTTTGGGCCTTCACATATCCCAGATAAAGACCCGGTCCAAGGACTTCTTGACTCCGAGCGTGAAACTGGATCTGCTCCTATGGCACAAATCAAAAGATAAGCTCTTGCGACGTCGTATCCTAGGTCTATGCTGGAACACCAGGGAAAGGGTGAAGCTCAATCATTTTTATCACATGAGAATTCCTTTCAACAAACCTGAAGGGAACTGAGGAGAAGTTCCGCGACAGAAGCAGGATCCCACCCATCAGAAGAATCTTCCCTTTCCAGCCCGATTCCGCCCATGTTATTCTTTGCCGGAATGCTTTTCCTTTCCAATTTAGACAAGGGGATCCACTTGAGACTCAGGCTCTGGATGGCTTTTGGGTTCTGGATCTCATTCACCAGGCTCAGGATCACTGTGCCGTTCGAATCCTTGAGGTGCCGGTAGAAAAATTGTCCGAGGTCCTGCCTCCCTAGCGCCGACTGGCATGGGAAAGAATTACGCAATAAGATTTCAGTCCTCATTCACAACTTGGAAGCAAAAAATGCTGTCTTTTTTTGCTGGCTACGACGGAAGTTTGCTGATATTTCGCAGTTGATATAAAAATACTTGTATGGGGCGAGTACATCTTTCGATTGAGAACTGAGTTTGAAGGAAAGCCTGAGAAAGCAAATTGTGTGGTAATGAGGTGATGGAGACCTGGATGTGGGCGATGGCGTTTAGCAGTTTGGCACGAAAGTCGAGGGAGGAGGAAGAGGAGTTGGAGGCACGGGTGAGATCTTGCCTGAGAGACTTCACGTCTTCCCAAGTGCATCCCACTTTCGTCAGCCATCCAAACTCGGCTGGAAGGTTAGTGGTTGGGTAACTCTCCTCCACCTCGATCACTGGCACCTGCTCCTCGTTCGTTACTAGGATCCGATCCTCGTTGTAAAACACGCAGCCCAGGTACAGACCCCTGCAAGTCATTTACAGCCCGTCACATCATACCCTATGACACAGATCCATTGAAGGCTATGCAATCAAATGCAATCCGCACCCTTTGAGGAATTTCTCCTTTTGGAACTTGGGTGCGGCAGTAAAGAGTTGTTTGAAGGTGCTCTTCTTCGGGTTCCTGGCCTTGGTGCTCTGGCTCTCACTCGTGGGTGCATCGGCCTTGATCTCTGACGACGCATACATGCTTCGAGAGTTTCTCAGTTGCTGAAACAGTTCCTCGAACACGGCTTGTCGCCCCTCAAAACGCGGCTTTCGCCCATCCACGTCCCTCCACACTGCACCACGCAATAAAAAAAAGGCCAAATGTAAACTTTATTTATAGAGACAAAACCAATGAATACTGGAGACTGGGCAGTTCATTCACCTGAAGGGACGGCAGATTCGGGGATAGAGTGGGAGAAGTGGCCGTAGCCTTTGACGTTTCCGCCAGCAGCTCGGAAGAAGTACCTCGTCCCAGGACTGAGACCCGTGATATGCACCACATGATTCCTCATGTCGACCACCTCCTTCTCTCCGTTCAGGAGACTGAAGTCACCCGTGCAACTCCATTGAGCTGGAGGTGTGGAACACCGTTAAAGGAAAGGACTCGTCCAACCGACATGGAGTCATTCTCGGACCACAATCTTACCTTTCACTTTCGTGCAAACGGCGAGGTTTTGATTCTCGGGTTCTGCGAAACGGAGAGCTACCGAATCGGAAGACGTCACTTCGATCTTCACCGAAGGCAAGGCCTCGGGTGGACCTGTATTCATCAGTAAAGTAAATTCTCATGAGCTTGAATATGTCTAACGAGTAAGAGAATATTGTGAAGTCATGAAGTAGTTTGAGTTACGAAAGTAAAATAATTATGTGAAATCAGAGGAATTATTAAAAGAACACTGAAGTACACATAATATTTAAAAATAAAACAAGGCAAGAGAGCTTACGGAGGCGATCGAAGCCCAGCTTCATAGCGTTGAGGAGCCTTTGCCTCCTCCTCCATAAGATGAGTTGACGTTGTAAAGGGGAGGACGGGGAGCCTTGAGTAAGGACAACCGTCGTCAAATCCTCTACTCTTCTCCCTGCCTCGGATAACAGTCGCTCCAGTGCTTCCCGGCATTTCTCCCCATTCGTAACTACATGATAGTGAAAGTCCATCCTCATCATCCACCTCATTCCAACCCATTTCACTCTTTCCCGTGGACCGAAACAAAAAGGAAATACTAGCACTCATTTGTATGGAAAGGAATCCAGGTTGGTTTGGGTCCTCTCCAACAGAGAAAGAATGTCATGGTTCACTTTATTTCTGATTGTGTAAGAACCGGTCCCGAGAACAAACCCATACTGCACAGGCTATTCTGTGTTTTTGTGACAGTGTGAGTGCAGGAAAACTAGGCCAGTTTCGAAATTCTATTGTCTTTTATTATTTCATCGTCTCCCGGATTCATGTAGCTGTAAAACGTACTCACGGCTTACAAGTCTGGAAATACTGTAGATACTATTGATCTCACGAATAAAAAAAACTTCCCCTAAATCTTATTATTTAAAAAAGCTGTCCTTAAGTTTTTATGATATTCACCGACTTACATGAAGTGATCTGTTAACGGCGTGAAACAGCAAAAAAAATTGCCTACGCGATTGCCTCGAGGAATTAAACTGATTGGAAAAAGATGCGCATTGAAACATCTAGCATTCCGCAGTTTTAAAGTAATGCTCAAGCACTCTTCCTTGATGCTTTAGAAATGTCAAGATCCGTTGTTGGCATGATATGTAGAAAGTTACTGGAAGCGATTCCAGAGATCATGAGATTAAAAGCCGCCCTGTGAAGTAGAGCTGGCGGGTGTGAAGGTAACTGAGTTGAACTGGAATCGAGGAGTTCCAATTAATCTCCAGAGGCAGGGATATTGTGCAATATCTTCCCAATTTATGTGCATTCCGGACTTGCCATTACTTTTTCCCTTTTCTTTCTCTTCTCAATTTCCTGAATAGTGGTGATCCGTTTCCCCGCAACCAACCGAATACCTAGGGTTCTTTCAAAATTGTAGAAATAGAGAAAATCGAGAGATCTGGGGGAAAGTAGAACTAAGGGTAGATTTCTGAACTGATAATGCAGGTTTATTTACCGGATTTATAATGCATTTTCTCTGAAATAAAGCTGCGTTATTGGATAGGTCTCTGTTCAAAAATCCACCCTTAGACTTCAATGACGAAAACGTAGGCTACTAAAGTCAAGTTCGTTCCACGGCAGATCCCACAGGGAATTCTCAAGAAAACCTAGGAGTTGAAAGATGAGAGACTTAATCTATTAAGTCTCTCACCTTTCAACTCCTAGGCAAACAACCTTTCATGACAAGAAAGCAATAATTAGGCGAACGGGTCTATTGACGTCAATTGCACGAGGGGAAATCTTATGCAAGTGCCCAGAAGAAAAAAAAAAAAACAGGTTTTGTTCACCTTCTGAGTATAAAGCAAAGAACTCGATCCCTTCGCGTCCATTACGTGCTCATATTCTCCTGCCCGTGATACTCGGTTAACAACTACCAAAAAAGTGAGTTCTGGTTTTCTCTGTTTTCCTTGCAATTTCATCGTTTTTTTTCTTTTTTTCCCGAAGGTTAACGAAGCGTTTTTTACTATTGCAGAATACATTTTCCGATAATAATAATGATAAAAACTTCCAATCCCTAAAGATCATTTCTACGTAAGCATCTATCGTTGAGATGGATAGTGGTTTCTGAAATTTTAAACGATTACGACATTCAGATGCTCCCTAATTCATATAAATGAGGATTTCTTACACGGAAATGTATTATTTATATGTACGCGGAGGGAGCACCTGCATGATTTCACCGTCGAGTATTTGAAATGACTTAAGAAATTTAGAATAAAAATGTCGTGGCATTGGAAAGGCACAGGCTGACTTTTCATCATGCGTTCTTGAGCTTTACGTCGATGACGACATTGGAAGTCTTTCAAGAATCTCTAATTCTCAGAGTACCTTGATATGCGCAATTTTAGACTTACACCCTGAAGCAAGAAAATAAGTCCTCCCGTGAATAGAGTAAAAGACCTGAGAGCAGGTTGACTCGGGAGATTTTTTCATACACTACTGGCCAGAAAAAGTTTCTGCCCGCAAAATCTCGCATTCGAGCTAATAATTCGTCCACAGATGTATCATTGGCAGTTAAACCGTTTTTACGGACAACATAGTCCTCCACGTTGTTGTCGTGATGATAAGATTGCAGTGAATTCTGAAATTGAATTGCCTACATTATTTTATGATTAAAGTAGTGAGATTTAATTGCCATTTATCATCTGTGAACAAATTATTAGCTCGAGTACTTGCAGAAACTTCTCTTTTTTTTGGTCCATATTGTTTAGGAAATCCCATGAAGTTCTCTTTAATGCCGAAAATAAGTAAAAGATATCCTAACTTTTGATCAACCGGACTTTACCACGGGCTTCAAACGCGAGACTTTCAATAACGAAATGTGTGTGTGCAGAATGAAGTTGGCAGGAATGTTGCTGGCCCTTGTGATCCTCTTTGCTGCCCTGGCGGAGGCGCAATTTGGATTTGGACCGGGTGGATTTGGACCTGGTGGATTTGGACCGGGTGGATTTGGACGGGGTGGATTTGGACGGGGTGGAAGATTCTTCCGGGGACAAGGTTTCAACATCAATATCAGCTTTGGACGAGGTTTCGGACGAGGCTTCGGACGAGGCTTCGGCTTCGGCAGATAATTCTCATCCATTGGAACCTTTATTTATGTCCTTGTCCAAGCACATGGTTGATTTCCTCCCATGCTCACAGAGAAATAGAGCACGGTCATAAAAGAACCTTCATATCTCTCTTGTGGGTTTGTCATTTCCCAAAAAGTACGATATCACGTTTCACGAATGTATGTGTGCGAAATGCGCGAGACTTACAGGCAGGATTCTCCATGGCACCAGCGTTTTGGAGTATCTTGACGAGAGGAAGATTGTTGGTTAGCACAGCTATGTCCAGTGCCAACACCCCGTCGCTATTCGGACTGAAAGAGACAAGAATTAACAAAAGTGAGCTATTGGTTAGCACAGCTATGCCCAGTGCCAGCATCCAGTCACTATTCGGGTTGGAAGAGATAAGAATTAACAGAAGTGAGAATAAGTGTAAGAGTCAGATTAGGAATTTCTCTTCTTTCCCTATTCATACGCATCGTTCACCACCCAGAGAATGAAGAAGACAAGAGAACCTTGGCAATGATCTCATCTTGAGGGTGTATGAATGGTAGGGGAAGGGAGCGACGAGGGCATTAAGGGAGACTCCTGTTACCCAGGGTTTTATGTGGATAATGCAGATTACGCTTGCAGACGCATGATCTTCATTAGAGGTCCTTCGTAAATAGAGAGAACGAGAGGCACACCCGATCTCTCAACTTTATGTGAGCGCTTATATCAGCTTCATTAGCCCAAGCTTGAACTATGTGTAATTCGCTTTGGGCGAAGGAAGGGGGAGAAACTCGAATGGAACTATTTCCAGAGCGAAATGAGCCTGGTCTAGCCGTTTTCCCAGGGAACACAACGAAGTAGGTCAAAGGCAATCTCAGATCGATAAGAAGGAGGGGAAATGTAGGAATGGGGAGATGAGGAAAGAAAAAAGAAAAAAAAAAGAGGATGAGAAAAGAGAGACAGCCTGACCAGAATTCCGATCTTGGAAAAAAAAAAACCTTTTGCAGAATCTCTTTCTCTATTTATGGATCACCTCGAGAGGAGAGAGTGTCTGCTTGTCTACGCTCTGCTGCCGAAGTAACTCATTTTTCGATATGCATCCTCTAAAAAATTTATGCATGTGCCTTTTATTCTACGATACATTCAAAATTTAAAAGGAGAATGTAGAGAAACGTACCTATTGACATCGACGTCAGTCGTTGACAGAATTGTCCTGGCCTTCTCCACCTGGGAATGTTCCACGGCTGCAAACAACGCTGGGGAAAGCAAAAAAAAAAAAAAACACCAACACGATGATTATCCACATCCAACATGTGGGGGAGAACAATGCATGGTTTATTTCCGCTATGTGGAGATGAAGAATCTCTAAAAGGTTCCGGAGCAATCGAAGGAAGAGGGTCTATTGACAAATGACGTTAGGAAGGAGACTTGACGGTGACGACGTTTCTATCCTTTTTCGGATGCTATTCTTTTTCTTCTTCGGTCGAGGTCAATGACATGAAAGATAAATCCGTATCATGGATGCATAGAAGCACCCTTGACGTCACGGAATCCATTTTAGTCGTGGCCGTAATAGACCACAAGCAGACATGTACTTGATGACCATAGGAAGGATGAAGGCTTTTCCTGTTTTCATCAAGCGGGATAGTTCCTCAAGGCTGAACATTTCTCTTTTCCTACCCGAATGTATGAGCGGAGATGAGTAAACGTTTCTTTCTTCCGTATTCTTTCCCCAAAGAAGAGTCACGGAGGAATCCTCCCGTCAAAGGCTTGATGCATACAGCCTATTCGCTAGCTAGACAGGGACGAGAAGCATTTTGGAGGAAACCCGAATATTATTTTTGTTATTACGCCGTTTATACGCTATGCTGCTCTTTACTCGTGTTCATTTGGAATCGCTGCGTTCCTGGTACGGCCTGAAGAAGAGTATCCGAAGCGGAATTGCATCTTAGACGTCGTGCAACGTCTCATTTCTGCTCTGAAACGAGTCACATCAGAACAAAACGAGACATTCTGACGTAAATTCACTGCTACGTCCTTCGTCCAGCAACGAGATCCTCAGATCGAAGTGACTCGTATGTGCAACATGCTCCGTCTTCACTATGAATGAATTTTTTAGGGGAGTGAGAAAAAAGTATGAAGTGAATCACCATGAAGATGAATGCTGATCTTGTTGAGTTTCTCCAGTCGTCTCTTCTCTGCTTTCGTCATGTTCAGGCTATCCACCAGGTCCAAGCCGTCCTTTTTCCATCCTACAACACATGAAACAAAAATCCTGGTCTCAAAAATGAGGGCTGACAAAAAGACATGGAATGCAGAAGAGGTTCATGGCATGGTGATGACGCATCAAGAAAGTCTTTGTGACCTGTCACCTGTCATCAGCGAAATAAATGGAAGCCAGATCCTGATGCGAGAACGAGATAGTTCTTACAGATTAAAGAGATCAGCGGTTGAGTATAGCCATAAACGACACCTGAGCATCTTCCCATGAACTCATCAGAGCTGCTGAGAGGAATCACACGACATGCGAGTGAAACATTCAAGCCAGGAGATCAATGAAATGGCGTGTTTCCTGTCCTGCAAGAAATCTATCCAACAGACCGAACCCGCCTAATCTCGTTTTCCGCTTCGTCGGATGAGAAGACTCCTTTCTCTTCCTCTCCCTTTCCTCCTCCCTCCTTGTTTCTGCCAGGTGGAGTCGGATCTTAGGAAAGGGAGAAGGAATAGAAAGACGTTTCCTCTCTTATCTTTAGCTCAGCCAGATGGTTTCTGGTAATGAACTCCTGATCGAGACGTCCTTCGTCAAAACACATCACCAAGCTCTCCTGAAGATGAAAAGGATAATTCTGTCGCTGACAACCTAACATTTCGTAGTCTATCTTAACGGCAGAATACGTTAGAACTTCATCCACCCAAAAGGAGGCTGCATCTCTGAAAAAAAGATCACCGATTACCCACAATACATTTTTTTACTATAATAAAGGAAGAAAAAAAAACATATATGCCAGATAAAGTAATCAATTTAAAATGCTCAGAAAAATCTGAAAATTTCCCGAACCAAGTAACCCACTCTTCAGTACTCAAAGTCGCAGAGCACAGACTGAAACTTCTCAAGCGTTTTAAAAGCAATTGTAGCCCTAGGCTTATTTTCGAATGGGGTTAGGCTTTATTATCTTACAAGGAAAACTAAATTATGCCCTTGGGAGCACTTCATGAAAATGGGAAATGGAGCGGGCCCTGAAACTAGGGTTATTCTCTCTCAAGTCCCACTCCCGTCGGCACATATGAGTCACCAGGGAAGACAGGCAGGAGGCTGGCCACAGCTGACACCAGGGACTGGCGCTACTCCTTAATTATTGGAATAGGCTCATGAGTGCTCATTTCAATGGTGTTGATATGTGCACTCGAACAATTTAAATGAGATGCTGATATCTTCTTTCTCTTCATGATTTCAAGGTCAGCATATTTGAAAAGCCTAAAACCTGAAATTTGGTATTTTGAGCCCGAACCGACTCTTCCGATTCGACCCCGGCGCCTTAATCCTCTTTCTTGGAATAGCTGGGTCAATTAACAGTAAAGAGTTTTAATATCTGGGGCCTGCTCTGCAATACTTAACTATGGTGCAATGCTTTATTCATCTGAGAAATTTGTCCATTCTGAGGACCATTGACTTTTTCTGATAACTTCAGTCTTGCTTCTGTGAGATGAGACCATTTTGAAGGAAAAAAACTTGCCTACCTTTTCTGAAATAATCTTAATCGCAGCCATTCTTTGTAACGCAAGGGCAATTAATCAATGTTTTCAATAGTGCTTTTATGTCAGCATTGAACTGATTTTTATTCAATGCCCATTTAATTTCTCAATACGTTTAGACACAAGATGGTTATAGCCATCCACGTATCTGATCGTACTAAGTCAGAAGGAACACATGTGGGACGCAACTGACTTGACTTGGAATGTTGTCACGGTTGAGCCAGCATGAAAAACAGCGGTGTATTTCTGGGAGATCCAGCCAAAATCCAGATGTCGGCCAACGGGTTAGGCCATGTCGCAGTTACTCAAAGAAGGCTCCCACAATAGAAGCGCGATAGCGTTGCCAATTAAGTAATTTGTTCTCATATACCGGAAAGTAAGTCTTCCGTATTTTCATTACGGTATTCGACCTCGATCCACGAAGAACATAAACGAAACTGGAACTCCTCGATGCATTTATCTACAGAGGTAACCAAGCGCAAAGAGACTCGAGGCAATTCTGGCCCAAATGGTGCATGAAGGATGGTTCAACTAAATACTTGACGCAATGGGCTGGGAGTTGAAGTAGGCTTGGATCACTCTTGGGAATGACGAGCGATACACCTGACTTTATCTGACCCTTTCAAAGGAAGTAGATTCGAACATGATGCATTATTAAAAAATAAAAAAACCAAAGTGATAACAGAAAACATTCTTATAGCGTAGGAGTAGTGGTGGGAAAAAAATGTGTTCGTCAGAGAGAAAAATGCAATGGTTTTATCCATAGCCAAATTCTGCGTCTTGCTAAAGTCCCTGCTGGAAACGATAGACCAATATCCTTACGCTGCAACGGGTAGTAAGGTAACGTTGATTTTTTTTTAATCCCTGGCCAAATTCTGATTTAAATCACAGTCCATACAGGAAACATTGATTCCACATATTTGTCCCAAAGGGGACAAGAACATCTTTCGATGGAAACTTTCTAACCCCTGTGAGGTATCCAGACCCGCGGAATAAGAAGCAGGCGGGTCAGCGGACGGCGCAGGCTATCTCTTCCCAAACTATGTTTAAAATCGCTTACCATTTCATTTCCTTCTTTTGATATCAGTGTCATTCTAAGACGCAAATACTCCCACGTCTTTCTCTCGTCGGTTCCAGTGGGAATGAGTGTCCTTAATTGACATTATGAATGAGTTTTGTATGACGTAGGCGCCATGATGTTACGTGGGCAGGAGCCATCCAAGCAGGCTGGCAATATTGCAAAGTGCATGGTCCTGTCCCGGAAAAAGGAAAAGAAAAGGCGAGGTCGACTTATCTCCTGAGAAGTTTGGAATTTCCATGAAAAGAGACTCTTTGGCGGAAAAGCAGGCGAAATGAAACCCACCCCTCGGTGACAGAAGGAAAATGGAGAAAAGGGAAAAAGGAAGAGGGGAACTGAAGGGGAAAGGGAGGACCCATCCATGCATATCAACGAATCATTCGTGTTCCAGACCAAGAGAAAACTTTAGGGCAATTCTAGCAGGTCAAGGCTGAAACTGAATACAGGCCAAGCTTCTCCAGGCCTTCGGCAAATCTCCTTTGAGCTCAAACTATCATAGAGGGCACAAACATGTCATTAGAATATGAATAATAATTGAGAGAAAGGGACCTGCTTCAAGAAAAGATGGTGCTCTTGTTTACGGGGATGTTGTGGAAGGAAAAAGGATAAACAACCATCATGTTTATCCGCGAGCTCCCGAATTTCATATTCACATTTAAATTGAATTAAATGTTTTCAGAAACCAACTGATTTTCAAAGTTCACCTATGTGCGTTTCGGAAAAAATGTCGCCATCTTTGAGGCAACAATATTGGTGATGATTTCCAAACGATCATGAGGGGGTTAATTTATTTTTCAAAGAAAGGAGGCTGGAATTTAAAAAATAATAATAATAAATGAAGGCCCGATATTTTCCCTTTTTTATCTTAAGAATTCCATGGGCCCAAATCAACCTTTGACGCAGAAACCACCTTTTCCTTTTTTGACTGGAATGCGCTTAGGCCCATATAGACGAAGCTAATTAGAGGCCATGACTTGAATCAAGAAAGGCTGATGATCTGTTCCTGAAAATTTTCCAGGAAAAAGCCATTTTATAACTCGATGGACCGTCTCTAATTATTTCCCAGATTGCAACTCAGACGGAAATCTAATTTCTCTAATGCACTCTGTCAATCCAAGAGAACTCGGTGTACGGACTTTCCTCCTTATTGAGGGGAAAGACTTCACTTTTTCTTCTTCAGCTTGTCGAGAAAATTTAGGATACGAATGCTTCTTAACGTAGAAACGCTCAAAAAATTAAATTATCGTGGTCCTTGTGCTAAAGGGCTTCGTGTTTCAGGCCATTCCTTCTGGTGAGTTAGGATGATGATTGGCCATCCGGACCCTCCAATTAAATTACGATGTATTAAGAAACTTCCTAACACCTGTATGTACCTTTCCTACGGCGAGTCAGCGACTGATTTCCCAGTAGGCCCAGACTATAATAGGCGAGGCGGGGGGAAGAGGTAGAGGAAACACGTAACACGGGGAAGGGAATCCAAAAATACCCAAAGGAAGGTTTATTGTGACAAGGTAAAGACCGGTCAAGTGCAAAATCCCACAGAGGAAATAAATTCTCTCACGAGTTATATACGAAGATTCTGTTCTGGAGAGAGGCCAAGCGTGACTTCTTTCAAGGGAATGAGTGAGACTGAGAAGACTAAGATCCTTCAGGTGAAAGACCTTCGAATTCACAAAAGCGAAGACAGCTTGGATAAACTGGAGTATATGGGCAATAACGGCCAGATAGCCTTCGTATCATTGTTTTCCAAGCCATAGAACGAGATGGATTGCCTGTCCCGAAAGACAGGCCCCCAGATTGCAGTTCTATTCCAGTACTAGACGCTGCCAAGACTGAGGTTTGTATCTATCTGCATCATGGAAAGCAAAATCCTGGATAACGAATGTCGAAGATGTCTAGGACCAGGTGTTTATGCGTGTATGTGACGGTTACACTCCTATCCCATCTCGAGGCATGACGAAAGAAAGTATGCATGCAGGCGAAACTCATTTCTCATGTCATGACGTGAGCTTTTTTCTCCTTATCCTGTTCCAGCACAAGAGCGTAGCTGTAACCTTGTGCACAACCGTCTCTCCTGTTCCCAAGTTCCTAGTTCAAGTAACCTTGTTCCATGCCCTGTAAACAACTCAGTAACTTCACAGACATGGTCTTGTTCTTTCTTATAAATGAGGCATAGAGCAGAGATACTAAATGTTCAAATTAGAGTTCCCAGCCGTCCAGGACTCGACAAGAACCCATGAGAAGTATTTGGGAGACGTTGACGCATAAAACAAGACAGTTGGGAGTTGAGACACCCTGCTATCACGCCTGGCATGATTCCAAAGATACAAAAGAAAGAAAACCGCACGGAAGAAAAAACAGCATGAATGAAGAAAACTTTCTCCTTTCTCTCGTACATAGTCGTGAAAACTCGGGCAGGGATGTGACCTCTCACGTCTCGACGTGCATTGCGTCAGCGCGAAGACACCTCAAAAATCATTTTCCATTTCAGAGAGAAGAAGGGAATCTTACGGTTAAAAGGAAGAAGCATGGCCTGTTCGGGTAAGGAGGTCTTGCGTCTTAGGGAGGCGGATTTCCTCATGGCGATAGAACTTCTTCGTGTGGACCTTCTCTGCACTGTGCCATCCACCACCACCCCCACACTGGATGCTATAAGATTCGCCACATCCGAAGACTTCCTTCTAAAAGGAGTCAGGGAATCCCGCCGTGAGGCAGGTACTGGCCCCGCTGAGGCCTTCCTCATGGCAAGTAACGGAGCCGGCACGGACGTCTGTGTTTCCAAGCGGGAAGACGCGTCGGAGGCGCTCCGTGTCAACACTCGTTTCCCCGCCATTGTCAGCACCATAATGTGTCTATAGGCAGTTCTACATACGGGATCAGAAGCGGACTTAGATCTTCAGTTCCTGGAACGCATCCACTGCAGCTTGGCTGAGTGTGCCGCTATCAAGTGGCTTCCGCCTTCATAATATCTATTGTCTGACTCATCCCCTGTTCGCACGTTGGAACGGATGGAAGTGGCAAATGAAGCGGCATGGTATGTACCTCGTATACGAAAATCCCAGAGCAGGAGGGATATTAGCACCATTTACACGCGGCTTCGCTTGATACAGTGAACAGTCATCGAAGGTGAATTAAAACAGAGACACGATTAAAGAGGAAGGAGATGACGTCATGGAGACCTCAATGCGAGAAAAAGGATTTGTTATTCAGGGCAGAAATCCTTTTCTTTTTCCAGACCCATCATCTATCAAGCCGACTTCCCCCAAATTGGGAATCTGTCACTTTCCTCACTCATGATCGCTTTCTGCCAGATGGAAAAAGGAGAGCAGGCGGATTTTTCTCCAAAATTTTCCCATTGCATTTCAGAATTCTCTATCCTTTTTAAAACTTTTGCTAATTTTGAATTATTCCATTGAGAGTATTGATTTCGTCTCGAACCCTTTAAGATAAAAAAAATTATTGGAGATATAAAATTTTCCACCCATGTCGAAAGCATATTTTACTTGCTGGTTCCCTTAGAGATGCAAGAGCATTAGCATACACTTGAGTGAATATAAAAATGTATCTCAGGAACATGTAAAGGCCTTTCATTGAATATCAATGAATGTGTAATGGATGGCCCCGAGGGTGTCGGTATTCAAGCAGAGCTGAGCCTTCGAAGTAAGGTTGTGAGATGGTTTCTCTTTTCCCCATGCTCGATGACCTTTCCCCTCCAGGGGTGAGTAACCCCGACATGACAGTGACAGCACGATCTCTGCTTACAATGACATGGGTAATGTTATGCACGCATAAACGATATACCTCTTCATTTACGTGACGTGGAACGCCGTCATGATCCTTGCTCGGATCGATGAACCCTATTCTCCGTGATCCTTTCTACCATTCCTGGGCGAACGAAACCAGACAATGCAAGTCGTTGACACAAAAGGCTCAGAAGAGTAATTACCTGCTGCTTTCGGCCGTGAAATTAAAATACCCTTTTCCGTTTCAGTGGGCTGAGGACGAGTACTATAGGAGCATAATGAACCCTCTTTCAAGAAAGGTGGCAACATCAGCTAATTACCTCGAGGCGCTTTAAAGACGATAAACTTCGAAGAACAAGGCCCCCTGGAATTCCATTTACCACCCACAAAGGGGAAGACAAGAAAACAACGCTTGCATTTTTTGGTTTTTGTCTACCTGTTCTTGTCTCTACATATATATACACTGAGGTCTGGTGCAGGTGCAAGGGTCGCCACCTTTGGGGAACTCGTATATATAGACAGCACGGAAACCCCTCATCATCCCATGTTAATTACATGAGGTGGGCTCTCCTTACAAGCCATAAAGCCGTGATCTACGTGGGAAACCCTCGAGCTCAATATTTGACGGGGAGTAGTCCGGTATTTGCTTTTTTTTTTTTTTTTTACACATCTCAGCCAAGCTGTACGCGGTGCGACGGAAGATGGAAGAATGTTGGAGAATAACTTATGATAACGTTACACTACTGACACCACATGTAAAAACTCGGGAGTCAGAGACGATGTGCAGCGGAGCCACTCGCTACCTCTTGAACACTGGCGGGTGATGGGATGGATGTTTAGGAGGAGGAGGAGGGGGAGGGGGGAGGGCAGCGCAAGCCAAATGGTTTCCGTTGGTATCGTCTGTCGCCCCCTTATTTCCAAGGGAGGGTCATTCCCAGGAAGGGACAAGCGCAAACACACTATCTTTGATTGAGCTGCATCACCTCCTCCCCCGAAATTAACTTTTCTTTTTTCTTTCTTTATGCGTCGGTCCCAGGACGATATATCTGCCCCACGAGATTGGGATTCATTACCACGACCCACGGCAACTTCGCAGTTGGTATTCCAGGAAAGTCCAAGTGAATTCTTTTCTCTTTTCTCATGCTGTGCATTCGGTTGAAGCCATTTCGCTATAAACATGGAGTTCTCGGTCCTGCACAGCATGATTGCCATGTATGGTGTCGCGCCATTGAATGAATGAGGATCTGATGAGAGCCAACGAGTGGCTTGGTTGATAGTTCCCTTGGCTCCCGTGGCAGGGGGACACTGGTTCGAAACCAATGAAGTCAGGTGCTTATTTCCGAGAGCACGCTCTGGCGTGCTTGGGAAGGGGAACGCCCGGGCACGTAGCACATCCGTCTCTAGATATGGGACGCTAAATAACCCCCTGGTGAAGGTCGAACGCTGGTAGCATATTCCTGGAGAACCGAATTGAGTCAATTTGAGTTTGCCAAGGTTAGAAATTACTTGTGGCGTTACTGAGTGGGAAGCTAAGCTGGTGTTCAGAGACAAGGCGCATTCCTGGGCTTGGGCCTCTTGCGCCTGTTAAAGCACTGTATCGTATCGATGGGATCGAGTCGATATGGAGAAATGAGATATCTTCCTTCCTGCTTTGTAATCTACTAAAATAGTCATTCGTCAATCGGAGGTCGGATTGGCCTGGGGAGATTGAGACACTCGAATACGGCGATGCACATTATTTGACTATTTCGCAAACGGAGACCAGAAGCCCTAGGAAATGAACCCGTTTAAAGGGTCCCTGCAGTAACCATTGTAGCATTTGCCGCATGACAAGTTGATTCATCGCGTTGGATTGCGTCTTAAGAGAGACATCCTGTGTCTGACGCTGTACACCAGAGAATGATGAGGCAGGAAACTTTTCAAAGTATCTACTCAGCTTTGAACGAATTACACTTGCAAGTGGAAAGATTAATAGCAATTCACAGTCCTGACAGCACTGTACTCAGAGAGAGGAGAGATCCGGTCGGAATGGCGCAAATGATGCCTTCTGCAGGCTTCTCCTGATCAAGGAAAAACCTCCACCGCTTGGAACCGTTGATTGTGATCGATCAGGAAGGGCTATTTAATAGGAATGGAGAAGTGGGGGAAGATGGATGACTTCATTACTTATCTAGACTCGGCCTCTTTCGACGTAGAGGCACTGCCCAGGCAATGTCATGGCTCATGGTATTTTTTTTTTTGGCATGGAAATACTTGCACTATAGTGTCTTCGAATTCAAATAGAGAGAGAAGCGTGGTGACCCAGATAAAAAGGCTCAGTGACGATCGATCCCCATTGGGTGCCTACGACTCAAGCTTTTTCCCCCGAGAAACTACAATATTCGTTTCATGATAGATTAATTATGCAGGCAGAGTGCCTTTCTGGTCGAGAATAGTTTTTATTTATAAAAGCTTCACGAAAGCAATCTATTTGATGGAAATACTAGAAAGCCCTATTTCTCTACTCCTCACTGAAAGGGCGATTAACGTGTAAATTAAAACTAGAGTGGTGAATTAATGAAGAAATTAGTACGATTGGCAGAGGGGCTCCGGATCATTCCGTCAGTTTCGTTTCATTCCGTCACATCTACGGATGCGCCTTTATTCCATAGATGACATACCCTGTATATATACATAGAGATTATTAGATTGTATTCCCCTTAATAAACCAAAATGCTATTGCGGAATGACAATGACGATGGCAAGCCTTGATGGCACCCGAGTAAGGCTTGTTGTTCTCCTTCATCTTCGCCTGCATTTATATTGTATTACTTTCATCTCATGGGGCATTATGAGCGAGGGAGACGTAAAAGACACCGCGAGGGAGAGGCATTCGCAAAACGTGCTGAAGAGGGCTAGGGCGATCACGGAACCCTGCCAAAGAAACGTTTAGAAGATCGTCCCTCCGCTCTGGGAATTGAGACAGAATGAGGTCGGGGGGAGGGGAGAAGGGGACAACGAAGACCATCTCCGCCGGATGCCAAAGGGAACATCTGCCCAGTCCACCTGCTTGGCACGTGCTGCCGACGCCATTCAACAATCAACGTCGAGCAGAGTGGAGTCCAACACAACTGCAGGAAGTGAACAGCCCATTTAGCCATAAAAATGGATTCGTGGGTGTCACGCGGTGGAACATTCACCCGTTAGGATTTTGTGCGTCACCATCAGTAATGTAATGGTTTTTTCCTGATGATTCTTTAATTGTTATCTGGGACATCACGTATACTTTCTCCTTGGAACTCATTAGTTAGACCACTTTCTTTTCCTTTCATCCCTGATCAAGCCTGGCGCCTCATATCCATGCACACACGACATAACGACTACAACATTCCAGATAACAAGAGTCCATAAGAAGTCTGCTTCCATCCTCTTTCGAGCAGGAAACTATGGGGAAAAGTTCCCTTTCTCTTCCCTTCCCTTCCTTCCCATCCCATCCCTATCCTGTCCCCTATCCCTCTCCCATTTCGATTGGGGGGTCCGAAGGAAGTCTATTTTCGGACAAGAGCTATTTTTAGAAATGGGAGGGAAGGCAAAGAATACTTGCAAACGGGGTGAATGGAATGTGCTGAGATCGATACCAACTCCTTATCATCGTTAGGGTTGCTCTTTCCTGTTCTTTTATCACTCAATCTCCTTTAAAGGAAGAGAGGCTCCTTTCGCGTTTCCATCCTACCCTCAGTCACCCTCTTTTCTTTGAACATTTTCGGAAACCAGTGAAGTGAAACAATCTTCCGCACCCCCCCCCCCCCCCCTCCAAACCGAAAGCAGACATCCATGCCTCTGAACACCTCTAGATGGAGCTTGAAAATCATTTTCTTGGAAAAAAAAAAGGAAGGGGGAAGATGTGTGTGTGTTGAAAGGAGGGAGACATCAGACATTCCTGTACATGTCCCCAAACTACATTCCCGAAATAACTAATTCTTTTGATGACATGAGAACTTTCCCAGACCGAACTGTGTCAAGGATCCTCGCAATGATGGACGCGCTCCTGTCCCATCCGCAATATAAGAATTATGTATCTAAAATATACCTATACTTCCCGTTGGTTTCTCTATACAGGAGA